ACCATGGATTTGACGAGCATGTCATCTATGTACACCTCCATTGTGCGTCCGAGCTGGTCAGCGAACATCTTGTTCACGAGGCGCTGATAGGTGGCTCCGGCGTTTTTGAGCCCAAACGGCACGACCTTGTAGCAGTAGGTTCCGCATTCCGTGATGAATGCTGTCTTCTCCCGATCGTCGGGGTGCATGAAGATTTGATTGTAGCCCGAGAAGGCGTCCATGAAAGAGAGTAGCTCGTTCCCCGCTGTCGCCTCGACGACATGGTCGATTCTTGGAAGGGGGAAGCAGTCTTTCGGGCAGGCCTTGTTGAGGTCGGTGAAGTCCACGCAGACTCTCCACTTGCCGTTTTTCTTTTTGACCACGACCGGGTTTGCGAGCCAATCCGAATACTTCACCTCGGTGATTTGCCCGGCTGCCGCTAACCTATCCACCTCGTCATTAACGGCTTGAGCGCGCTCGGCGCCTAACTTTCGCCTCTTTTGTTTGATCGGCCGGAAGGTCGGGTCGACATTAAGTTCATGGCTGCATATGGCCGGGTTGATGCCAGGCATGTCACTGGTTGACCAGGCGAAGCTCGAGACGTTCTGCTTGAGGAACCCGATAAGCTCGGTTTTGAGGCTTTCTTTCAGGTCGGCACCGATGCCAACGCAGCGGTCGTTGTGATCAGGGTCGATGTTGACTTGGACGATGAGATCTCGGAGATGACGATCTGCTTGGCTTGGTTCCCCTGGGAGTTCGGATCCAACGATGTTGCAGGCGGGAACTCCATTGCGGCTTATTGTGGCGCAGAGCTGAGTGCGGGCGGCGTTGCGGAGCTTGTGCTCGATAATGAAGCACGAGCGCGAGATCCTCTGGTCGCTCCGGACTGTGAATGTGCCGGTCTGGTTGGAGAACTTGAGGCACTGGTGGTAGGTCGAGGTGACCGCCTTCATCGAATGCAGCCAAGGAAAACTGAGGATGATGTTGTATATGGCTGGACGGTCACGACGGTGAATTTGACTATTTTTGTTACCCGACCTACGTAGACCGGCAGCTTGATCGTCCCTATCGATGTGATGGTATCTCCTGCGAAGCCGGTCAGAGGAGTGAGGGTTGGCTTCATCTCGACGCCGTGTAAGTCCATCTTCTCGAGGGCTTCCTTGAAGATGAGATCTACCGAGCTACCCGTGTCGACAAGTATCCTAGTCACATCGCAGTCTGCTACGCGAATTTGGATGACGAGGGGGTCATTGTGAGGCTAGTCAACTCCCTCGGCGTCCTCCTCGGAGAACGTTATTCCCCTACCGCTTGTGTCCTGAGCGTTGCTCTGATCTTTGCCACCCACATCTCTGTCTGGGTGGACTTCCGCTCGTGGACTTTGATCGAGCGAACCGAATCGTTGCAGGACAGGAGGCCGCCCATGATCATTCCGATCATTGTCCGAGCCGGCGGTGGGGACGCCTGTCTCTGAGGTGCGACCTGCTGTTGCTGTTGTTGTTGGACGGGCTGGACTCTATCGTTCTCGCGAGAGGGAGAGCGCTGGCGGCGGTTATCTTGTTGACCTCGGTTGTCTTGACGACGCCGGTTATCACTACGACCTCGGCCGCGCGGCTGCTGCTGGTCGGGGACTCTAATTCCCCCTTTTTGGTACTGAGCGAGGAGAGCTTCCTGAAGTTTGCGGCACTGCTCGGTTGAGTGCCCCTTCAGTTGGTGGTACTCGCAGAACGCCTGGTTGTCTCTGGTAGCAGGAGCGGCAGCCCGCTCTTGGACGACTTGAGCCGGGGGCGGCGACTGGACCGGTGGCGGTGCCTCGACGGTGCGATACCATTTGTTTGATGGGAAAGGCTGTTGATAATACTGCTGCGATGAGCTGGGTGCGGCCATCCCAGGTCGGTTATACTGCGTATCGACTGCGCAGTGGGGGCTGTCTATGCGGAAGACGGCTGGAGCTTCTTTGACGGGACACGAGGTTGGCGCGTCGCTGATGAGAAAGGTTGCGGCCTGCCTGCGCTGATATTCCTCGTCGTAGTGCTGGCGGGGTTCGTGGTATTCGTCCTGAGCTCTTTCCTTTTGAGGTGGATTTTTCTGGGAAGCGAGCTTTCTAAGACTTGCCCTCTCCTCCTCGACTTCAATATGTAACCCGGCGCGGTGTAATGCGTCTTCCAGAGTGTGCGGCGCATTGAGCTTTAGTTCGTCCTTGAAGGCCGAGTCGAAGTGGAGGGCTTTCCTCAGGGCTGGGACGGCGGACTCGTCCGACACTGAGGCGCGGGAGGCCGTCGCTTTGAAGCGCTCGATGAACGACCGGAGGGATTCTTTTGATCCCTGGCTCAAGGCCCAGAGATCGGCGGTTGAAGCAGAACGCTGGATAAATATAGAATAATGTTTGAGGAAGGCGGTCGAGAGCACCTTGAAGCTATCGATCGAGTGCGTCTCCAGCCTAGAGAACCAAGTTTTCCACGAACAGTTGGCAGTGTCCGGCCTCGCGCTCTTCGGGCGTGAAGTGAGCTCGTCCCATGGCTATGGTGAATGCCGTTAGATACTGCGTGGGATCGGTATCTCCAGCTTAAGGTGGGAGCTTCACTTTGCTGACGTGACGGAAATGAGTGGAGGCGATTTGGTGTGTGAACGGTGTGTTCTGCGTCTCCTGCAAGACACGATCTATTTCGGGGGCCGAACTCGTGGCTCGATGGACCTTTATTGGTCAAGAAAGGTTCTATGCTTTAGGGCTTGAATCGGTGTTAGCCTTTAATAAGGAGAGAAGGCTCAAGGAATCACGTGTGATGTTTAAGGAAGAAGAGAGTTGGTGTCCGTACAATGGTCCCCCCTTGGCGCGTCGTTTACACTTGGTCTTGTGACCGTTGGAGCTGTCACTATCTCTCGGGATCCATGCTCAAGACTCACATGTTTCCTTATGTCTCTAACCACTTTCTTTTGTATTGTAGCTTAGCTAAACCTAGTTTCTATTCTGTCTCTTCTATATATGTATCAAAGACGAGAATGAATAAACACACTACTTTGGGAACTCTTTCTCTCATCTCTTTTGCACACTCTCTCAAATCTCTTTATTCCGCTTAGTCTCTAAATATTCTAACAACCTTGGAGTTCATCTCGCGAATTTTTGCCTTGATGGCCTCGATCTCCGTGTCGCGGTCTCGCTCTGCGGCCATCTGTCGGAACGCCTCCGGGCTAGAATACTGAGGGCGCATTTCGGCCGAGCGATTTGCCAACTGGGTGGATCTCCGACTTGGTCTGGCTGACTCGGTTGGGGAGTCACCGAAGAGGTTTCTTTGCAAGAGTAGCACTTCTGAGCGGTGAGCTTCCTCGAGGTCGCGCTCAACCGAGGACCTAGGATTCTCCGGCTGGTTTGCGTGGGCTCCTCGCCCTGCCGTGAGCTCGGCGAACCTTCGGTCAGTTTGGCGGGTCATCTCGTCCATTCGGTCGAGCAAGGAGTGGAGCAGAGGAGCCAGGGCGTGGTCTCCGCTTGCCGGAGTGGTCCGTTCAGCTGGGGCCTGCAGGGTGACACGTCTCGGACTTGTTGGTAACGCCATTGGTTCAGGGATTTGGTGGGGAGTGCTGCTTTCCAGTTCGGACTCCAGGGGGAGCGGCGGTGCTGGTAGCTGCGGTGCTGGCACTCCGGTCTCTGTTGGTATGGCGGCCTCCTTAGGGTGGACAACCGACGAGGGCGGCGTGAGCGCTGCGGGTGTCGTGGTTGTTGACTTGGCCGTCGCTGGTGATGATTTTGACATTCCTAAGGTTGAGGGCGATGTTCCTGCCATTTCCAAATCTTTCTTGTGCGTGTAGAAAATCTCTAAACCCCCCTCCTTCTAGCGCCAATTGTTGATCTTGGGGATCACTAAGTATGTTTAACAGATGATGAGAATGATTAGAGATGATTTCGGGGCGAGATTTTCGTATAATAAGAGTGATTCAGTTCGGGGAGGAAAAGAGAGTGTCAGCTCGGAGCCGTGAGAAGAGTATGTAAAGAGAGAATACTTAGCGTTTCGAACTAAGTCTGGAAAGAGTCCAGTTCGGCGCTTTTATATTGTTACAGCGAGCTCGGAAGAGAGACAAGTGTATTCAAGTAGAGAGAGAGTAATCAATTTCCGGTCCCCTCATAAATGATCTATGGGGAGTATTTATAACGGGAGCCAGGAGACGAGTTTCCTCCAAATCGGGACGACGTGGCAGCTTCGGCGCATCTCAGTATGGCGTCTCGAGCCGCGCGTCCGAACCACTCCGCGGCGAGTGATAATGGTCCTTCGCCGAGCTACTTGCGCAGATAGGTTACTGTAGACGACCTGCTACTACACGTGTCGTATCCTGCTTGGTTCCGGGTACTGTAGATCGGTGCAGTGATGATGACGATTTAGGCGGGGTCATGCTGATTGGACTAATGACTTTTGGCTGGGCTTCATCATCCTACTATGAGCTTTATTATTGAGGATGGGCCTAGCTAATTGGGGTGCTAAGCCCACCTCCAACAGCCGATGAGATTGGTGATGTGCTACTAAATATTCTTGATCAACCAAAAAAAAATTGATATTCATTTCTGCTTCTTTGTGTTTGATATTCAGCGGTTGTCGATAAAGATATTATGAAATGTGAATCCGAGACTGAGAGTATTATCAGCGAATTAGAAAACAGCAACCACCACGCCAATTGAAGCAGAAGATGCTTTGATTTTTGGATCCCTAAAATGCAAGCGATTCTGAACCACTTCAGAGACTCTATAGTTACGTTTCACACTCCATGCATGTCCGCAGAATCATAACTGTGGCTGGTGAGCTTTCTTTCTCTGCACCCTCCAGTGCTAAGGCTTGATCACTGCTTTCAAAAATCACCAGTTGTATAGTTCTTGATTTATCGTGTAGATTGTGACGAAGAAGCTTCAGGAGGGTTTAGGGGATAGCAACAGTCATCAAGGTCTGTACTTATCTCTTTTGACGGTTTGGATGGTTGTGGTCATTAAGAATATTGATGCATTCTGATTTATTATTTGTTTTAACCAAATGAAAAAAAAAAAAAAAAAGACCAAGTCAATTGAATCCATAACTCTGCCAACTATTTAGAAAACCCATTTGCAAGAGTTATCATTTTTATATATACTAACTACCATACAGGTTGCTTTTCTAAGAAACCACATCATTCTTTCATATCGTTGCTTTATTTGTTTGAATGCGTCTTCTACGAGAGGGCTATGAGGAAGTTTCCTGTCCAGTGCTCGTCAGCATACAATGACTACAAAAAAAATCAACCAATTAGAATTCACATCTCTTTGAAGTTTATCTCTGACGCTTTTGCATCAACTGCTTTTCTTTAACATCATTTGCGACTCTCTGATATCTCTCTCATGGCTTCTTCTTCATCGGACATTAAGAGATACCATGTCTTTCCGAGTTTCCATGGACCAGACGTCCGTAGAGGGTTTCTCAGTCACTTACACAACCACTTTGCAAGCAAAGGGATCACAACGTTCAAGGATCAGAGAATCGAGAGAGGCCACACCATCGGACCTGAACTCGTACAAGCGATTAGAGAATCCAGAGTCTCGATCGTTCTGCTCTCTAAGAATTACGCTTCTTCGAGCTGGTGTTTAGATGAATTGGTCGAAATCTTGAAATGCAAAGAAGCTTCGGGGCAGATTGTGATCACCATCTTTTACGACGTTGATCCATCCGATGTTCGGAAACAGAGGGGAGATTTTGGAAGCACTTTCATGAAAACTTGTGAAGGGAAAGCAGAAGGGGAGAAAAAAAGATGGATCAAAGCTTTGGCCTATGTAGCAACCATTGCCGGAGAACACTCTCTAAACTGGTTTGTTTTTTCTTCTGGGCTCATTGAATTAGAAAGACTTTCTCTTTCTTAATCAGAACTTCACTTCAATGGTGGAGTCTTTGCAAATTCAGACTCATTAACACGAGTTTACGTTGTTTTTTTTTGGCTAGGGATGATGAAGCGGCAATGGTCGAAAAGATTGCCGCAGATGTTTCCAACAAACTGAATGTTACACTGTCAAGGGATTTTGAGGGGATGGTGGGACTTGAAGCTCACTTGAGAAAGTTGGACTCTATGTTATGCCTCGAGTGTGATGAAGTGAAGATGATTGGAATTTGGGGTCCTGCAGGGATTGGTAAGACCACCATTGCTAGAGCTTTGTATAACCAACTCTCTAGTAAATTTCGATTCAAATGTTTTATGGGGAATCTCAAGGAAAGTTATAAGAGCATTATGTGTGTTGATGATTATGATTCCAAGCTGTGTTTGCAAAAACAACTTCTTTCCGAGATTTTGAACCAAAGGGATATAAGGGTACATCATTTAGGTGCAATCAAAGACTGGCTACAAGATCAAAGAGTGCTTCTTGTTCTTGATGATGTAGATGATCTAGAGAAACTAGAGGTATTGGCTAAAGAACTTTCTTGGTTCGGTTATGGAAGTCGGATCATCGTGACCACAGAAGATAAAAAGATTTTGAAGGCTCATGGGATTAACGATATCTACCATGTCGATTTTCCTTCCATGGAAGAAGCTCTCGAGATTTTCTGTCTATCTGCTTTCAAACAAAGTACTGTACGAGATGGTTTTGAAGAGATTGCAAATAAAGTAGCTGAGTTTTGCGGTTGTCTTCCACTAGGCCTCTGTGTTGTGGGTTCATCATTGCGTGGAGAGAGCAAGCACGAGTGGGAACTTCAATTATCTAGGCTCGGAACTAGTCTTGATAGAAAAATTGAAGACGTATTAAAAGTGGGATATGATAGATTGGTTGATAAAGATCAAGCTCTGTTTCTCCACATTGCATGCTTCTTTAACCATGAAAATGTTGATCATGTGACAACCATGCTCACTGACACTGTTTTGGATGTTGGAAATGGGTTGAAGAACCTAGCCGATAAGTCGCTTGTCCATATATCATCTCGTGGACATATAGCGATGCACTATTTAGTACAACAATTGGGTAGACAAATAGTCATTGAACAGTCTCATGAGCCCGGAAAGCGTCAGTTTTTAGTGGAAGTCGAAGAGATTCGTGATGTACTCGAAAATGAAACAGTAAGTTCTTACATATACATTCCCTAGAAATTGCTAGTGATAACAATTTCATAAGTCTTCTTTTGCAATATTTGGTAGGGTACTGGATCTGTCATAGGTATATCATTTGATATGTCCAAGATCGGTGAGCTCACAGTAAGTAAGCGAGCTTTTGAAGAAATGCGTAATCTCAGATTCTTGAGATTTTATAATGGAAAAGTTAGCTTGTTAGAGGACATGGAATATCTACCCCATCTAAGATTGCTACATTGGGATTCATACCCGAGAAAAAGCCTTCCTCCAACATTCCAGCCTGAACGTCTCGTCGAGCTCCATATGCAATTTAGCAAGCTCGAGAAGCTCTGGGGAGGAATCCAGGTTGGTATTTGATATGTGTGAATATGTTTCAAATACTTTAACCGAAGTGTGATATTCCTCATTTGTTATATTTCACATGTAGCCCCTTGCGAATCTCAAGAAGATAGATTTGGTACATTCCAAAAATTTGAAAGAGATCCCAAATCTTCTGAAAGCTACTAGTCTCGAGACATTGAAGCTTATGGGATGCAAAAGCTTGGTGGAACTTCCATCCTCTATTTCGAATCTACAGAAATTAAAAACGTTGTCAATGCGGGCGTGTGTAAAGCTACAAGTTATTCCCAGCGATATCAACTTAGTATTTCTTGAGGACGTGGACATGAGTTATTGCTCGCGGTTGAGAACTTTTCCAGATATTTCTAAGAACTTCAGTCGTCTCAATTTAGAAGACACAAAGATAGAAGATGTTCCTGCATCAGTTGGTGGATGTTGGTCTCGTCTTGAGTGGCTTGTGATGGGCAACAGAAGCCTCAAAAGATTAACACATGTCCCGCTAAGTGTAACGTTGCTAGACCTAAGCAACAGTGAGATAAAGAGGATTCCAGATTGCATTGTAGGTCTCCCTCACCTAGTGACTCTTATTGTCAAAAACTGCAAAAAACTTGTGTCAATTCCGGGTCTTGCCCCTTCGCTCAAGTCCCTAAATGCAAACAATTGTATATCACTAGAGAGAGTATGTTTCTATTTCCACAACGTAATAAAGGAGCTAACATTCTACAACTGTGTGAACCTGGATGAAGAAGCAAGAAGAGTAATTATACAACCAAGGGTTGATGGGTATGTATTGTTACCAGGTAAAGAAGTCCCTGCAGAGTTCATTCACAAAGCCACAGGAAACTCCATAACCATCAAAGGTACTTTTTCTGTGTTCTCAAGATTCAAGGCTTGCCTTCTGCTTCCACCAATCAAGAACAGGGGAGATTTTCAAATAAAGTGTAGTTTAAGAAGCAAAAATGGTGTCCTTATTAACCAAGTCTACAATTTTGGAATGCCTGAAACTTTTTATGCTAGATGTCTATCAAAACATTTACTTATATTCCGTGATGCTCTATTTCAACAAAGCGTCTGCCATGATGAAGTTGATGTGACTACGAGTGAGATTCTGTTTGAGTTCACCGGCTGGCTGGAAGACGATGTTTGCGAGGTTCTTGAGTGTGGTGTACAGATTTTGACAGACGAAGCTGAGGGTAGCAGCAGGAAAGAAGACACTTTTGAAGAAGAGAGTAGCAGCAGCGACGAAGTGAACAGCTTCAGCAGCAAAGAAGACAACTTTGAGGAAGAGAGTAGCAGCAGCGACGAACTGAACAGCTTTGAAGCTGATAGTAGCAGCGAAGTGGGTTACTCTGAAACTGGAGGCAACAGTGATGAAGCTGTTCGACGGATTTGGTCCGGGAAAGAAGACACAACACCCATTATCTTAGGGGTAGTTACTCTCTTGTGCGTGCTTGTAGTTATCCGAATCTATGTCAATAAAAAATAGAAAGATTGGAGTATCTGATCCTACATGTTACTGGTAAATTGTTGATGGTAACTCTCTCTCTCTCTCATTTTTTATATATATATACTTCGTTGCACGATGCAGTACCATCATATTTTTAGCTTTTGTATATTATAAACTTAGAAGCAGCTTGGTTATTGTGTGTTGACGTAGGGTATAGAATGGATCAAGTGAAGTTCTTTAAAAGATAGAGATTGTTGTTGGAACTTGGAGGCCTTGTGATACTTCATGATTGCCTTGGGATTAATATACGATATGTTTAGGATAATATGACTCAACAGCTTATTTTCGATGGTGTGAAAATTAGGCATCGGAAGCTATAGACTGCTTTTCAAAGTAATACAAGTTGTTGGAGTTGGCTTAGGAATGGTTTAGTTTCACTGGAAGTAGTTGTGTGTTGCAGCGACATGGATTCTCATCGCCTTCTTCATGTGAACCGAACTCAGCTGAATCGACTGATCGAGTGTCTGTGAGATCAAACAAACAAGAACGTGATCGGAGTCCACTTGGTTTGAATAATGAGAAACAAGAGTTGTTGGAGTTGGACGCAAAAGAGTGGCTCTTGTTGATTCGTCTTCAAGCAAACAGGCAACAACAACAACTCGTGTTGCTGCAGCTTCAATGTAACAGTGAAATTCGTCGTGTTTCTTAGTTGTTGTTATTGTACTTACTTTCCCATGGTTGCAGAGTAGCAACTTGTGTTTGGCATTTTTTTTGTTTGTAATCATATGATCAATTCGAATAATATATTCCTTTAGAAACACTCAAAAATAACTCTTTGTTTAATTAGTTAAATTTATTACATCGTTCACTCAATGTTATAAAAGAAAAGCTCAACTTCGTGATGCCACAGACAAAACTCACAGGCAGAAGAAGTATTCATGTCGTTGTCCTCACCGTATCGATGCCAAACACAATTGTATGCTACGAACTTCATGGTTTTGCCATCGCACTCGCACTTCTCTCGAACGTACGCTCTTTTGAGTTCTTTCATCACCGGTATGCCACGCCACAAAATGCTGTCTCTGATCCTGTCTCGAAGTTCCACCAGCTCTTGCAACGTTGTTGACATCAACGGTTTTATTAAACCAGACAAGATCTTGAAACCCTTTTGTTTTGTATTGCCTCCAAGCAAAGCCGGTCCTGATATGTATAGACTCAAAGCATATTAATAAATTTTAGCCTCTTTTATAACTGGTAAGTTGCGTATAATACCAATTCAACTAAATATGAACTCTAATAAACTGAGGCTACAAAAAAGGTGTGTTTCTCTTGCTTACCTCCAGGGTTACCTTTGTCTCCAAGACAGATTAGGATCATTCCATAAACATAGTTTGCTTCATGGTTTCCTTTCTCCGCAGCTCTAGTCAAAAGTTTGAGCCCTTTGTGTTTTTGGTTCTCTAGAAAGTAGTTGATAAGTCCTTTGCGGTACAATGCTTCGGGGTTTCCATTCTTGCGACATCTTTTGAAAAAATTTGAGAACCTTTCGGGGTTGTGATTCCAGTGGAAAAGAGGGGTTTCGTGTAGTGAGAGTCGAGAAATAACGTAACGATCATCACAGGTCTGTTGAAACGATTTCGAAACTAATCTTAGATTACGAACCGATGACAAGGAAGAAGCTGCAACACATGAAGAAACCTCCACGAGAATGTCCTGTGGTAAACAATCGATAGAAAGTGTTCTTTTGCGAGATTTCTTAATAGAAACAGACGAAGACATCATAGAGGAGGATACCATGTTCATGTTGAGATTGAATTCGTTTTTTCCCTTTTTTGAAGCCTAAATCTAAGCTGGCCAATGTTATATAAAGGCCTAAATTCGTTTTCCTTTTTTGAAAAGGAAGAGAAATAGATAAGTACAATATCAGGCAACTAATTTCCTTTTCCAAATCAAAAAAGGAAATATTAGATCTTTGATGACCAATAATAAAAAAAAGAATTAGATGTAGAAAGAAATACATAATCCTATTCTTAATCTGTCTAGGATTACAACCCCTCGAGAGACTAAATATGTTTATGACCAATTGTTCAACAGTGGCTTTTTCAGATCAGGAACTCACTTTAGCTGGTTTCTTTTTGGAGTTGTTTATTGGTCGGACCTTTACAAAAGCTTTTTGTAAATCCTGCAACAAAGGGAATCAATGAAGACATTAACCTAGCTTTGTAGACTACTACTCAATTGTTCTATCAACGGATCAAGGAGGAGATGAACACAAACAGAATAATAATCATTGAAAAGAGCAAAAAAGATCCACAAGGTTTTATAGATCAATGAGTATCTTTCAATAGAATGTAAATAAATCCTAATAACTGGCTAGTTCAATTAATCAACTGCTCGAGAGACAGTCATTGCCATATTATCAAAATTACTTAGTATCAAGGAGGCATTACATAGTTTAATGAGATATTCTCCGCAATATACTTCCTAATACCCTCATCTCCCACAAACCCAAGATCAAAGTTTTAGCTTTTACTCACGATAACCCGATATTAGCAGTAACTAATATGGACCAATGTACACCAAGTATCAGCTTTTATCCACGAGAAACCCTAAACCATCATCTCCCACCTCCATTTTTGGACGATGTAAAGACACAAATCCAAGATAAAAATTTCAGCCATTATTCCGGATATTTAGCAGGAACCAATATGGATTAATCTACACCAAGTCTGTCTAGAAAAAAAAAGTGAAATATGTTTACCTTATCTGAATTATCATTAGTTGATGCTTCAGCAGTCCAAAGGCTTTCCAAGTTGAAATAAACCCTTGCCTTCTCATCAAGTGCATGGACTACAAACTTTCCTACACGGAGAGGGAAAATAGCATCCAGAGAAAGACTATTACATACAGCACAATTCTAAATAGAGACAGAACGAATATAAAATTTGAAATCACAAAAAACAAGCAGTGACAATAACACGAACCGTAGTCTATAACAATCCACTTGCTATTGTACCCTTGTACAGAAGGAAGCTTTACATGTTTGGCTCCTATCTGCTTCTGCTTAGCCTGTGAGTGAACAAACAAAGCCAGAGAATTTAAGAAGTCGTATGATCACTCTCAAAAGGAGTTGTTTCTGTCATCAATCCATAGAGTAGATTCTTACATCGAGAATCGACATCTTATCACAAAATCACGCTATATACGAATGTTTGATTGAGGACTCAAGTATGGGATTCGAGATTTTACTCAGAAGCAAAAGATAGAAGATGAAAACAAGTTACCCTGTAGATTAGAGCCTGAGCGATATTCTTCAGGTGCCAATCGGATCTTCCGGTGGCGATGATCGTGAAATCGGCCCAGCAACACTGATTTTGCGTTGGAATCACAATCACGTTATCAGCTTTCACGTCGGCGAGTATCTTCTCCACTTCGGGAACCGTGAGAACCTCATAAGAGCCGGCGGCTGAAGAAAAAGAAGGAGAGGAAGCGAAGAGGCGGCTTGAAGCGGGAAATCCGAGCTTCCATGACTGATCTAGAAGTGAAGGTAACGGTGGCGATGTGAAATGAGAGGGAAGAGAAGAACACCGAGATCGGAGAGACGCCAACATGAGCTTAGCGCGGTTGCGAAACGGCCACGATTGTGCGAAAAACCTAAATACCGACCGAGTCCACTATGAGTGCGAGGCTGAAAAGCCATAAGTGGAGAAAAAGTTTGCTAAAAACTCATGTCCCCAAAAACAATTTTATTTTCGAATTAAATTTATTAACAAAAATTTGGTTAATTATACTTTTATTCTTATATATCTCAAAAAATCACGAAAATACTTGAGTTAAACCCATCCGTTTTATGCCCGACCCGAATACCTAGGTAAAGTAGAATTTCTTAAAAAAAAAAAATTTATTTAATTTGAAATCAGAAATCAGGAAATTGAAATTGGTAAACCGAAAATTGGGTAAAGAAAACCAAACCGAATGAATTTAATTTTGAAAACCAAACATAACCTTAAAAACGAAAATCAAATTTTGTCCTCCTCTTTCTCTCTTCATCTTCCCCAAACTATCTCCACTTCCTTCTCTCTTCCGATAATTCTGTAACTTCCCCCTTGAAACGACACTTGCTCGATTTTGTAACGGCTCCTTCTTCAACTTCCCTTTCTTCAATTCCCGTACTATATATTACATAATTTAGCCTTCTAATTCCATCAAGACAAACCCTAAATCCAGCCTAACTCGATGGCTAAAATTCGACTTAAGGGCGTGGTCTATGATTCGAACGAATCTGTACCCAAACGCAGCGAAGAAGCAGATATGGAAGATAAAGAACCCGGAATAACACCAAACCCTCCGGCGAATGATGAAGAAACAATCCATGAAGAAACTCGGGGTGAAGAAGAATCATTGACGGAAGCAGAACCAGCCGGTACGGAAACCACCAAAGAAGCCCCAGAAACCGCACCAACACCCATGGAGGAAAGTGTGACGGATCAACCAGAGGAGCGGTTGGAATCTCGTGAAGAACCTGAAAAAGTGGGTTTAGCGGATACAGTAGCCGAGGAAGAGGGTGTGGTAGAATCCCAGAAAGAAGGCGAGGCAGATGTATCTGAGGATGAGGCTTCAGGAAGAGAAGGTGAGGAAGAGAAATCAGAGAAAGAAGTCGAGGAAGAGGAATCAGAGAAAGAAGCCGAGGAAGAGGAATCCGAGAAAGAAATAGGAGAAGAGGAAGTCGAGGATGAGCAATCCAAGAAAGATAGTGGAGAAGAGGAGTCCGAGAAAGAGAAATAAGCAGACGAAGAGGGAGGGGGGACACCCGAGAAAGACGACGAGGGAGAAGGAGAGGAAGGACATGAAGAGGAAGGAAATGAAGAGGAAGAAAATGCAGCGGAAGAAGAGGATGGCGAAGAGGCAGATGAAGATTTAGAGGTAAGTATACTCTAAACAAAATTATGTTTGGTCATTGGACAACTAGGACAACTAGGATAACTATTTGAATGAAATTATGTTGGGTATTTGGACAACTAGGATAACTACGATAACTATGTGTGATTCGAAATTACGTTTGGCATTTGAACAACTGGGACAACTGGGATAACTGTGACTGATGAAATATCGTTTGGCATTTGGACAACTAGGAAAACTAGGACAACTAACTATTTGCACGAAATTACGTTTGGCATTCGGACAACTGGGACAACTAGGACAACTATTTGCACAAAATTACGTTTGGCATTTGGACAACTGGGATAACTGGGACAACTAAATATCATGATTGTGTTTCTTGTTTTTATCTCAAGATGCCGATGATGGTAGTCAATCGATGGTGCCTGAGAAGCTTTACTTCGGTCCAACCGAGTACAGCCAGGGTTGTAGGATATTGACAAGGTGCTCAGTTAGAGCTGTTGTGGACAAGATTGAAAATCTTGATGAGGAGAAAGCATGGTTCAGAGCGCATCCTCAATTTAAGCATATTTTTCACATGTTCAAGGAGCCCAACCACATGAATCAAGGGTTGTGGATGCTTCTCCTTCACACTGCTCATACTGATAGGCTTAGTGAGTGCTGGTTTGTTGTTAACGGAGTTCCGATAAGGTATTCTCTGGGAAAGCATGCGCTTTTGAGTGGACTTGACTGTCGTGATTATCCGGCTGACTACAACAATTTGGAGAACACAAAGTTTGTTAAGAAGCACTTTGGTAGGGCCGATAAAATCAAGATTGGAGAGGTGAAAGAAAAATTAGATGAAATGAAGGATCCCTTTGTGGACAGGAAGAAAATGGCCCTCCTCTGGTTTTTATGCAAGGTAGTGAAGGCGAAATACAAGGCTGATGGTAATATTGATCCGTTCTTGCTCAGAGTTGTCAGTGATTTGAATGTGTGTAAATCATTCCCTTAGGGGCGTTACACATTCGATGACATGATGAAAGAGATTCGGCGTGTGATGGCAAAGTTTGATGGCACCATGAAAGGCAAAAAAGCAGAATGTCCCTTGTCTAGTTTCATTATTCCTCTACAGGTAATTCTCATTCAATAGCTTATAGAAGCTAAATTATTTACATTTATTAGTGGTTTAATTTTTTGACTTTTTGTCTAGATACTTGCTTTTGAGTGTATTCCTAGCCTTAGGCGAAAATTTCGAGAAGCCGTACCTGCAGAGAAAGACTGTCCGAGGATGTGCAAGCACAAGTTTGCTGATGTATGCATGGAAGGCATTCCATTGGATGATATAAACTCAGCAATTGAAACAAGTGTAAAGGTTAGTATTTGATGGGTTTGGTTATAGGACAATAGGGTACAACTATGTTTGACTTGTTGGTAGTGGTATTAGGACAACTGGTACAACTATGTAATATTAAAATTATTGGTCGTGGGACAATAAGGACAACTGGTATAACTATGTAATATTAAAATTATTGGTCGTGGGACAATTAGGACAATTGGTACAACTATGCAATATTACATATTATTGGCGTTGGACAATTAGGACAACTGGTGCAACTATGTTTCTTTTATTTTGGTTTGTCACTAATTTGTTTTTTTTGTTTTGTTGCCAGGACATCCATAGCATCTTGAAGCCTGCAGACTCGAGTGAAGAAAAACTATTGACTCGGATATTAGATCCTGGATATGATGATGGGATAAGACTCATTGATGTAGGTCTTGAGGATTGGATGCATCATCTCACGGTGAAGAAGAAGAAGATCTTCTGGAGATCTTTGTATGAGTTAGAGATTCAACATCGGGGTGTAGGGAGCAGAGTCGAGATTCCTCAAGCACCAGCACCTGAGTCGACATCATTGTTGGAGCTGAGGGCTACCATTGGTCTGTTGGAAAAAAGAGTGGCGACGCTTGAGCAGTTAGTCATTCACCAATCCCCTGCACCACCCGCCTCTTCACCAGTTGGCACCGGTCAACCACCAGCTGTGTCCTCACCAGTTGGCACCGGTCAACCACCAGCCGCGTCCTCACCAGTTGCCACCGGTCAACCACCAGCCGTGTCCTCACAAGTTGCCACCGGTCAACGACGAGGTGCATCACGTCCTACCCTAAACTCGTTGTACGCTTTGTTGGATTGTGTGGAGGTGTTGCAGCGTGATGTCTGGCATCAAGGGATAGTGAGGGCAATTGTGGGGAACAACCGTTACAAGGTAAAACTGGTTGACACATCGGAGGAAGCTGATTTCATGTATTGGGATGTTCGGCCATCAACTGCACCACCACCTGCATCCGCCCCTGTAAGCGCAGCACCAGCAGAAGCATCCTCCTCAAAGTCCGTTAGAGGTCGAGGTGGAACTAAGAGGCCCAGGAAGAATTCAAAATACAAGAAGTCGCCTTACACTTCTGCGAGAAAAGCCAAGAAAGCCAAGAAGTAGAATGTTTTATGTTTAAGATCATGTGTTTTTCTTTGTGGTACAATCTGTTTAGGGTTAGGACAACTGGTACAATTTTCTTGTTTTATTTTGGACAACTGGTATAATTTACTTGTTTTATTTAGGACAACTCGTACAACTATATGCGATATATTAGGACAACTGGTACAATTTCCTTGTTTTATTTAAGACAACTCGTACAACTATATGTGATATATTAGGACAACTGGTACAACTGCGTAGTTTTATTTAGGAGAAATAGTTCAAAATAAATCAAAGGTGAGTAGCAACATAACAAGGGAAAAAAAGGTCAAACTGAAAAGCTCATCTTCTTCATCCTTAACGCTTTTTCATAGCTTCTTCAAGGAATGCCACCTTTGACTCCAACTGGTTTAACTTCGAGAAAACAGTGTCAAACAAAGCCCGCATGGCTTCTTGACTATCATTCAACATTTCAATCTCTTCGATTATAGCGAGATCCCACCATTTCTTGAAGCCACAACTGGGAACCTGAAATCCCAAAACTCAGAAATAAACCCTGAGACTCAAATTATAAATCAAAATTGAAAACCCAATTGACTTACTTCTGGGAAATTTTTGGGGCCACAGCAGCCGTAGAAGCAACCATAACTTTATCCATTATGCGGCAGAATCCCTAAAAAACCTATTTGGGGAAAAATTGGGAAAGAGAATAAGAGGAGAAGAACCCTTTGACCATTTTCTATGAAAGAGAAAACGCTAAACGACAACCAAAAAGAGACAAGTACAGCGGCAAAACTTATAATTTTATCCTCAGCCGCCATTCTCACACGTGCATTTTATGTTGACATCATAGTTGTATCTAGTTGTCCGGTTGTCCCAAAATTGTCATAGTTGTCCTTTGGACGATTTTTAAGTTTTTTTCAGTTGTCCTTTAACAAGAACATTCTTTTTTTAGTTGTCCCCTTAACCCTTGAACATTTTATACATGCCCCAAGGGTTTCGCGCCCTTACTTTTGTATTTCCCATATTTTTACGTGTAGCCTCTTATAAGATGGAAACCATTGTCAAAAAATGCCTTATACCATAAGGGTTATTTCATTAGAAACACAAATGGTATATCTTATTTTCAGAAAATAATGGGTTTTTTTAGTGTTTAGTGGTAGTCGTTGAGTACACAGTAGTTAAGGGTTTAGGGCTGTATTTGTTTAGTGTTTAATAATTTAAAAAATTAGTTTGTCTTGGTTATCATAGTTGTCCTAATTGTTCTAGTTGTCCAAATTGTCATAGTTGTCCTAGTTGTTCTAGTTGTCCAAATTGTCATAGTTGTCCTTGTTTGTCCCAATTGTACCAATTGTCCACTTTATACTATTTTGCCTTCTGTTGTCCTAGTTGCACATTTTGTCTTAGTTGTCCTAGTTGTCCTACTTGTTTGTAGTTTGTCTGGGTTTGGACGTAGTTGCACCTAATTGCACCTAGTTGCCCTGTTGACATTCTCGAAATCCAAGTCCAAGAAATTCAAAATACAAATTACTCCAAAATACATAGTATTGCAAGAAATCCAAGATAATGAAAATATTCCTTAGACCTAGCTCTCACCGCCCTGACCGCTCTGACCCTCTTCACCCTGGCTTTCCTTTGGGTTTAGTGGTTGAAACCAACGGCCAATGTTTATGTTTGGGTTGGCCTTCTGACTCCTGCGAGCTTCTCCGGTGGAAGGAAACCGCTTCTCCTTCTTTCTTCCTGTTTTTTTGGTTTAGTCTGGTGGGTAAACAACTAAATTAGCTACCTTCTCCGGAATAATCCAAGTAGAATGATGCGGCACCATATAGATGGTTCTGTGGTAAGCCATCGCCCAACTATCAATCAAGTAGTATCTCGAGCATAAATAAAAAATGTGTAAGTCTCTTCTTCTTGAGGACGTCCGCATCATTGCAATGGTTGCGGCTATTGCATGAACACATGGAATCTTATCAATATCAAACATGCGACACCCACAGCTTTTTGTTTCCAAATTAACCAGATAGCTCTTCCCATCAACTCCAACTACACAGTATTCAAGCCCAGATAGATTTAGCTCAGTCACATCTAATTTGGTCGCAATTGCACATTGTTTATGCAACTCGTTTTCCACATACGGCACCAGTTTCTTCGAATATGATGCACCAGCTATGTTATTCCTATACCTGTTGAACCATTCAGAAACTTTCTCAACATACGCATCAATCAAAGGCAATAGTGCATACTTTCTCGCCTTCTTGAAGATGTTGTTCATTGATTCACAGGCATTGCTTGTGTCCAAGTTATACTTGTCTCCTTTAAAATTCCACTGTGCCCATTTATCAAGAGGAAGACCATTCTCTAAGTGCTCCGCAGATTTGGGAAACATTCTACCAAATTCGATGTATGCAATTAGAAACTCACTTTCGGTGTACTTATGAGCGCACTCAATGAATTTTTTAGAACACAAATCCTTCCAACCATTGGCTGCTTTAACCCTCACATTACGAGACAAGTGCCACACACAAAATCCATGCTGAGACTAAGGGTACACCTCCTGCACTGCCTTCGCTATGCTTGTGTGTCTGTCACTCATAAAAACAATCTCAGGATTATCTGGTATAACAGTTTTGAGCATTTCTAAAAACCACCTCCAACTAGAGTCTTTTTCACTATCGATTACACCCATTGCAATAGGGTAATGGTGATGATTAGGATCCTGAGCCGTGGCAAATACTAGCATACCACCATAAACATTTTTAAGAAAAGTCGCATCCACCACTATGACTTTCCTCATTGAACTAAAGCCTTCAATGCTGGCACCCAAAGCAACAAAAAGATACTTGAACTTATTATTAGCATCCACTTTCACGCTCGTCACTGTACCGGGGTTCACCAGCTTCAACACATACAGATAAGAATGCAATCGTTGAAAGCTTTCTTCCGGACTACCCCTCACTTGACTAATCGCCAGTTTTTTTCCTCTCAAGGCAGTAGAGTAGGACACATTCACATGAGCTTCATTTTGAACAACCTTCACAATACTTCTAGGAGCCGGTGTGTCCACTACACCTGGATACGATGCACGCAAAACATCTGCTACAACTTGTGGAGTACCTTTTTTTTATTCTCAATTGTGCTGGTAAGGACCCGAGAGCAACTATGCATTTTTCTGTATACTCTAAGGCTGAAGTAAGTTGAATCTTTCATTCTTACAGCATGTACATACCATGAACAACCATGTTCAGCTTGACGGCATCTAAGAATGAGTTGCCCAGGATCAGACTTCACTGTTTTCACCTCAAAACATCCCTTATACGAAGCTCTGTCAACCAATACTCGCAACGCCCCATTCGATCAAAATTCTTGATTTTTCTCAAAACCAGCACCATCTTCCCATTCAAGAACAAACTGAGTCGATTCTGAAGCCCCAGCAGGCTCTACATGATCATGCTCATCCATACCATACTCTGCAGGCTCTTCAAAACCCTGATCATCCGGTTGTGAAACAACATCATCAATCACTATCTGTTTCTCAGTCTCAGGTACAGCCACAATAGCAAGTTTGTCATGTTCTTTCGCTGCTTCTACCGGTGTGTAAGTAGTCATCCCTTCCTCAATATCAAGCATATTATCCCCTGTTGCTAGCTCCTCACTCTGATCTTCCATTATCTCCACATTCAACACAGATCTAAGTCCCTCTTTGTCCAGAGTTGTTAGATAGACATACACATCACCATCATCAACAACACGTGACTCATTGCGTGGCTTAGCTACCAAAGGAATGTAGCTTAACTTGAGCTTCTTCGTACTATCGTTTATCCCAATCTTCTTGCATATACCATCTACAACCATCGCATAGGTTACCTCGTCAAAAGATGTTTTAAATGATATAGCATAGATGGAACTCCTTAAAATCCATTTAAACTCTTCTCCTTCCTTAAATAACATCCTCCATACTCAAAATGTATGTTTGTGTGGCCGCTCATCCCCTTCTGTTCATAAATACAAAAAAAAATAGGCATTTACGATTTACATAAAATTAATATTACTCACAGTTATACCAATTGTACCAGTTGTCCCAATACATTCCGGGTCCCAATTGTCCCAGTTGTCCCAGTTGTCCCATTTATTTCAGTTAACCCAATTCAACTCAGTTATCCCAATTGTACCAGTTGTCTCATTCCATTCAGTTAACCTAATTGTACCACTTGTCCCGTTCCATTCAGTTACCCGAATTGTACCGGTTTTCCCATTACATTCAGTTTCCCCAATTGTACCAGTTGTCCCTTTCCATTCAGTTAACCCAATTGTACCAGTTGTCTCTTTCCATTCACTTAACCTAATTGTACCAGTTGTCCCATATCTCACTGATTCACTATACAAACCTACGATTCAGCTCGATTCAACGGCAACAAGTTATATTTTAACATTCAGAAGACTAAATCGACATATATACGCCACTCTACTATCCAATGTGCAACCTAAAACGACTGAAATTGAAAAATCGATAACTAAACCCTAATCCCCAAATTGTAGAAGAAGTTTACCTAATTACGAAATGACGGCAGAGAAACGAGATTTGAAGAACACAACGGGTTCAGGGAAGGTCGGCGCACCGCGCCGAGCGCTAATAAACGAAAACGGATTCGAGATTGAGTTGAGCAGATCGGATGATTTTTGGGGAGAATTCGGATTTCGGGTTTGATTAACAGTTCACAAGCATTCGGGTTTTTGAAACTAGATCGGTTTTGGTTTTACAATATCTATTTTCTCAATTTTTCGATTTTCAATAACAAACAAAAAAAATAATCAAGAATGTCATCTCTCCTTTTCATTAAGGATATTTTCGGAATATCATATGCCTTATGACACACAGACTCAAATATGGCAGGATAGATTTCTTTTTCCTCATTTATGACTTTTCAGCCATTAAACCATCCACTATCCCATATGATTTTTGACCCGGAAAAAAGTCTAAATTACAAGAAAAATTAAAATTAGTAAAAATATTACATCATTTTCTAGTTTATGTTTGTTACCTTTTATTTATTTATTTATGTATTGATAAACTGGTTTAGTTTGTGAATTTAAGAATTTTAGGTTTTCTTACTCTCATTATTTTTGACAACCACCCATCTATTTAAATCAAATTTCAACGTCAAAATAGTTATTTTGTGGAACAACCTCCCAACTATGTCTAACGTATATAGAAAAATAAAATACCTTTTCATACACTAACCTTTTTCACAAGGATCAAAAGATAAAAGCAATATTAATGTCTTCATATTCAGCTTTCAAGAGATAAAAAAGAGTTTAGTTCCAGAGCAAAAGTTGATTAATCTACCGAATTCTCAAAAATTCCCACCAAATCTAACCAATCTCGATTCAAATCGTAAGAATATGTTTTTCTCAATGATATGTTTTTCTTTTCTCTCATTATAATACGTTGAACTACAGTTTTTGTTATCCATTGATAGTCTATTGTACATAATTTATGTATTTTGGAATTTTATGACCACGCGGCTTAAGTTAGTAGCTAGTTCTTGTTCGGTTGAAGCCTTTAAAGCATAGTCCTTGGCAAACTTGAAAACAAAGAAGCATATTCTGCTCAATTCATATATCAATCAATTAATAAATAAAATTATGTTAACGTATTCATATACGCATTTCGCATGGTATATTTTATGAATATACACTCAATTTCTGAATTCTTAACTTTTTATTAAAGTTACTATAAAAGCTCTCTTACACGTACTCAATAAAATATTGAAAAGTTCTGGTATATCAACAGAATGTATCAGATAATAATAATATAGTTGTATTATATCCCTAATGTATTTGACTTATATAATTTCGGATAAAGATGAAAAAAAGTTTTAGAACGTATATCTTTAAAAAAAAAAATTAAAAACTAACAATCTGTATTTTCTGGAGATTGAAACACACTGCAATGCACATAGAATCGTGTAGACTTCCTAGCTAAAATAAAAATATTTAATACAAGAACCGTTGGTTGTTGCCGAAGAAAAAGAGAACAAAGGGAATTGAAGGGTAGACGCCATTAGATAGAGATCAAAGGAAAGATCTTTTTTCACACGCAAAGTTTCGCCTTTTATGGATTCATGTCGTCTCTGTATCTTCTTCTTCTTCTTCATGTAGCTGCTTAAATGAGATCCATCGATCATCGTCTAATGGAGGACTCGGCGGCTTCGTCTTCCTCTTCGTCCCATTACTTTTCAATTTTCACGAATTACCCTCTGATTTCCGCCGTCTTAGCTTTCACCATCGCACAATTCATCAAATTCTTCACCTCCTGGTACGTTTTACGTGCGCAAGAATCACTCTCATATATTTGTTCCATGCTCGTTCTTTGATCAAGACTATTGTTCAAAACTCATAATTTGACTTGTGATCATCAGGTAGAATTGATCATTTTTGACGATTATGAATTACATGTTTTTGCAGGCATAAGGAAAAGAGATGGGATCTGAAACGGCTTGTTGGGTCTGGAGGAATGCCTTCTTCACATTCAGCTACAGTTACAGCTTTAGCTATGGCTGTTGGTTTACAAGAAGGATTTGGAGGATCACATTTCGCAATCGCCTTCATTCTCACATCCATTGTATGTTTTTGCCTTTCTTTATCACTTTTTGATGGTTAAGGAGATGATTCAGTAAGTAAGTGAGGAATTTGTGTTTTGTGTGTGGCAGGTGATGTATGATGCAACTGGTGTAAGATTACATGCTGGAAGACAAGCTGAGGTTTGGTTTAGATTGTTTTCTTTTGGTGTCACAAGATGTGTTTTTGTTTACTGGTTTTGGTCTTCTTCATTTCCAGGTTCTCAATCAGATTGTGTATGAACTCCCTGCAGAACATCCGCTCGCTGAAACCAGACCCCTGAGTGAACTTCTCGGTCATACACCTCCACAAGTAAGTGAATAATGAATTGAGTCGAGATCATGAGATCAATGGGGACTTAGAGAAATGATTTTCATGTTAAGACAAGTAAGAGACTGATTGTGATCTGCTAATTACCTGAGCATAGCTTTTTTTGGTGTCATCAGGTCATTGCTGGTGGAATTCTTGGAACAGCCACTGCAGTTGTTGGCTACTTAGTCACTTTGATAGCTAAGTAGCTAAGGTTTTATCAAAAGCTCACCTTTTGTGTTCCATCGGTTAAAGCCACTATTACAAGAAAATGGACTCTGGAAGCTGTGGTTTATTTGCCCCTTAGTTTCTATTTCTTGTTTTGCTGCTCGGGCTCTTATCATTGGCAACATGGTAGTTATAGGTTTGATCTTGTAAGGAAAACGTGAGACGTCGTTTTCACTGATCTTTGAAGTTGTTAAATAGGAGCTTGTGCCTTGAACTATATACAAAAGAACATGATGTGTTTAGGATTCAGCAGGATCAATACTTTGGAAACTCATCTTTATGAAAAGCTATATCTCTATCTTGGTTCTTTGTTGAATTGCAGAGGAGGGTCCCAATCCAAGATTATGTCAACCAATGGATCCTTTCTTCAAACTCTGACAGATATCCCACGATGAAGTTTCATCTCGTTTCCTTTTAACTTCCACGATATCCAACATCGATTTTGCTTGTAGAGCTAATGCTGGTTTGCTTTAATTCCCTTGGATCATTAGACACATAGCTTAACATTAAATCCTGTTTCCTCTCACGAGCTATAACTAACTGATATGATTCCTCTAATGATGATATGATAAGGAGGACCTCTCAACTTTTTCAGTCGACCTCCTGAGAAGAAATAGATAGATTTTGATTAACCAAACACGTCAAGAAAGTCACGGTCATGGGAATCTGATTTTGTTGTAGCTCTATGGAGAATCACGCATCATGACTCATGAGCAATACAAGAGGTTGTGACCTTCTCCTGATATTGATAATGTGTCACAATAGACCACAAAGTAAGATAATGAAGGAAAATTCAGAAGAAAATTGAGAATCAGTAAACACATTACCTCAATATAACCAAGGTGAGTTATTTACAAAAGGTAAGGGAAAATTTTCACACGTGTTGCAGAAAATGAAAGAGAACTGTATATATAGAAAGAAAGAAAAAAAAGAGAGAAAACATAGAAAGAAAGGAATCTATTTTTTTTAATACTGATCTATTATTTTATTATAAATTATGAGAACTATTACATCGATAATTTAACAACGAACAAGTCTCCCGCCTGCAAATACGCCAAACGAATCTCCATGCATCATATGTTGAAAACCTCCTGTAAGCTTGTCTCCATTAATCTGCAAATTAATAATAAATCGCACCTTTCGGGACTCGAAACCCAGATCTCTTAGTATAGAAGCATTAAAGATCCATTAACCACTAGGCTAAGGAAGCTTCCACACAGAAAGAGAGGAATCTATAGTTTACCAAAAGAATATTTTTTTGAGGTTTTGGCTGGAATCTATCTTTATGTTTTTTTTTTCGTCTGTAAATTTTTTGGTGGTGAGTAAATCTATGTTTATGCAAGAACATATAGTGAAACAATTGCTAGGGATAAGTCCTTGCCGAGATGCAGACCCCTGAGATTAAATGACTAAGTGAAATTAGTATTCCCTAAAGTCATTTTTAAGCAAAAAGTATTTGTTTCGTTTTAAAGTGATATTTTTTATATTTTTAGTATAAACTTATAGTCTTTTTATTTTCTTTCATCATCTGTATTATGCAGCTTTTTATCATTAACTTGATAAGTAATTATATTTAAAAAATATGAATTAATGTGATTTCTTAATCTGCATGTAAAATTTTGAAACATCAAACAAATGGATTAAATGAAATGTACGACAGAGTGTAGTTGATCAGGGTGAATCCATTCATTATTTTGAATTTTCCTATTGGATGAAACTTAACGCACTATATTATTAAATGCATATTTTTAGAAAACATATTTATTTGATATGCACTTGACTAGATGTACTAATATTTCCGATCATACACTTTGACGGAAAGATAAAATATATTTCATAAATTAGATTTTACGTAGATAAATTATAGGGTATGAACTAGTTACTAGAGTTCTATATTAGTTTAAGTGATACGAGTAAAACTGGTCCACAATAATCTCTATTTTATAATATGTAGATAAAACAAAACAACCATTCATTCTATCTACTCATTTTAACTGTCCATTTCATCCGTTAAATCAAATGATTAACCATGGAAGCAATCGGAACCTCCAATCTCCCCCTCAAACCATGTTACCAATCAAACCCAAATGTCCACATTTTTTTTTACTTTCGCATACATTAATCCATATCAATTTACATCCAATGAAATCATATTTTACTTAACTAGAAGAACTTAGTTAACAAAAATAGAAAATGTGAGTGAAAAGAAGTACCAAAATAATGAATCCATAAAAAACCAAAAGACGGTCCACAAGCAGTAGGGGAAGGAGGGGACTGTCAAGGACCACGTGAGTTTGTCAGTCAAACCCGGACCCGCTTTTCCCCTAACCCGGACCGACAAAACCCATCTCTCGCCGCTCCTTCCAAGATCTTTAACCGTACACGTGTCATAATCTTTACGAAGCCAACCTTCATCTAAAAATCTTAATCTAAAAGTTACCGTTAAAAAGTACAACTGTATCTTAAAAAAAAATACCGTTCTCGGGAACTACATCAGTAGTTTTAACTTTTTCCTAAAACTCTTTGCTTCTCCCTAGATTCCTCCTAATTGTTTGTGATTGTTCCCATTGCATTTGCAATTATTAACTTATCGGTTTATTTAATTAACACTATAATTAGTACTAGTATAATGGCGATTGTTGAGTCACTTTCTCCCCACGTACACATGATTAATATTTTTCTTTTTGAAGTATTCGCAGCATTTTCACGAACCAGATCGGAGCATTGTTATTTACACCATTTTTAAAAAATAAACAAATTGTGCGGTAGATGATTTATGCCATTCCGAGAAAAGGAAAAAAAAAACAAGTTTATTCAAGTTTTAAAGATTTATAGTGGATTATATAGCTACGTACGTAAATGCAAGTAATGTAAAGTAATATGACTAATTTAGAAAAAGGTTGTTACAATCAAGTGTTGTTAATTCAACTAGAAAAGCACCAAAGATCAAATGGCATTTGGAACAGAATCATATTACATGTTTTGGTTTTCGATATTCAACTCTTTTTCGTGGATTATAAATCTATTATATATTTTTTAGACTTGAACTTATAAGTTATAACGAGTATCAATACCACAACATTATTATCACGAACCAGATCTAAGTATTATTTATAATTTCCCTCAAAATAATAAAAACAAAAAACTATAAGGCTATATGATTATGCTATTCCGATAGGAAAAAACAGAAATTAATTGGAGTTTTTAAAGACTATCATTCTCGTCTTCTACAACAACCAATCTGGCACTTAATGTCTCTCTGCTGAATCTCTCACATCATCAAGTTGGGTCTACGAGAGTGACGACTCTTTGATTGCTTCGCCACATCTTCGATTTATCTCCTTGGAGTCATCATCTCTTTCTTTTTTTTCTCTATCCATTTTCTTAGTGGATAAAAAACCTTACATTGCTCTGATTCTTAGAACTTGTTGAAACAGATCTCTGTTTTTTTTTTATCTTATTTTATCTTGTTAAAGAAAAAAAGAATGAGATCTCAAGGAGTAGAAGATAACAACAAAGCGTGGCTTGAACCAGCGACGCCGGAGATTTCAAACGGAAACGGGAATATAAGTTACGAGTTTCAGAAAGGTGTAAACCGGACACCAAACCACCACCGGTCCACAATGGGTAAACCGGCACCGTCAAAATGGGACGACGCTCAGAAATGGCTCTCCGGCGTTGGTTTCGCTCGCGGCGGCGGCGGAGAGAAGAACCACCACTCCTCGAGAAGCTGTAAACCGAGAAACTCAAACGCCGATGATCTTAGACTCATAGCTTCCGCTTCGCAAAGGGAACGCGAAGGAGAAGATCAGTACGTTGAATACGACGACGACGGAGAGGCGGCGGCGGCGGAGAGGCCGGAGGTTGAGACGAAGAACGTAGATTGCGGTGGCTCGGCTTGGAGGAAGGAGAGTGTTATAAATCCGACGGCTGTGATTCGATCGGTGTGTGTGAGGGATATGGGCACTGAGATGACTCCGATCGGTAGCCAAGAGCCTTCTAGAACAGCTACGCCTGTGCGAGCCACGACGCCGGTTGGGAGAAGCCCTGTGACGTCACCGGTGAGAGGTTCTCACGGCGGCGGTGAGGCGGTGAGGACGGCGGTTGAGACGGTGACGGTGACGGAGGCTAGAAACGTGACGAGTTTTGATAATGAGAAGAAGGCGATGAATGCTATGGAAGCTCGAGCCATGGCTTGGGATGAGGCAGAGCGCGCTAAATTCATGGCTAGGTGATTAAAAACGTTAATTAATTAATTAATGGTTTAATTAGTGTTAAACGTGGTTTGGTTTATATCTAAAGTCTTTGAAATTGGGTTTTTGTTGGAGTGTGATTAGGTATAAGAGAGAGGAAGTGAAAATACAAGCTTGGGAAAATCATGAGAAGAGAAAGGCGGAGATGGAGATGAAGAAAATGGAGGTAAGGTTATCAAACCGTATATAATTTGAATCGGTATAAATGGTTTGATCTTGGTTTTGGTACGGTTTTTGGTTTTTCCGTATTAAGTTTGAGATTACATTTTGATGTGAATGTGGGGTGTAGGTGAAGGCGGAGAGGATGAAAGCAAGGGCGGAGGAGAAATTGGCGAACAAGCTGGCGGCGACAAAGAGGATAGCGGAGGAGAGGAGGGCAAATGCGGAGGCGAAGCTGAACGAGAAGGCGGTGAGGACATCGGAGAGGGCTGATTATATAAGAAGAAGTGGCCACTTGCCTTCTTCTTTCTCCTTTAAGATCCCATCTTTTTCTCTTTGTTGGTAGCCATTATTTGGTGTTTACTTATATTCTTATTAATACCTTTGGAATGTAATCGTGTATGGATTTAGTGATTGCAATAACTAACATAAAATAATTAAACGGGTTTGTTTGGGGAAGTGGGTGAATAGAGAGAAAGATTATACTATGTGTAAGGATATAGCTAACGTCTCGTAAAAAAGAAATTGAGACTTTGATTGACCATAAAAAAAAAAAATTGAGAGTATTTAGTGTTTCAACCTAGTTAGTACGAATAGAACTGTTGATTTGTATAATTGGTCATCATCTCTAGTTGAAAAGCCAATGGCACGAAGTTACTGTAAGTTAGAATTCGGACTAGAAGCAACCTATGTACTTATTGCCCGATTGCCAATTCTCAGTAGGAGCTTTAACTTCCAAAAGCATATGTTGGCTAAATCTTTTCGGCAGAAACGTTATTTGGACCGACTTAAATTAAAATTATCACCGACTGGCGAATAAAATCCACTGTGTATTTTTCTTTTTTTTCTGAGTTCTTTACCATAAAATTTATATATTGCTTTGATCAAGCTCTTTTTTATCTACATACTTCAGAAACACCTGCACAAATATTATTTAAAAATTCCATTCATGGAACATGAAATATTATTTTATAGTGATTTTGTACAAACTTACTAAAACTTTTCAGATTTAGTTGCTGTGTAATAGCTTCCGCTTGAAGAATATTGTCTCCTATTGAGATTCCGTGGAAGCCATGGCAAGCAATCTTTGTAACATCAGACTCTTTATATGCGCAGTAGCATCATCCTGTCGAGTACCCGTGTACATCTTTTACAAGACACAGACACAGCGACTTTAGCTCTCCAAAAGATTCCAACAAGTCTTCGACGTGTGCTTCACCATAATAAGATAAAATTCCGGAGATACACATGTTGAATGACCCTTACTCTCAAAAGAAATCTTTGGACCTTTTCTAACAACATCCGTGTTTAAACTGGGAGTAGGGTGGCTTAAACCAAGGACTATAGTTGTAAATTGGTTATATTCAGCTCGGTTTCTTTACTGTCAGTGGATATTCCTGAGAAAAAGAAAAAAATATTGTCTAGAGAATAATTTATTTGTGGGTTCCACTTAATTTATTTTTATTTAGTTTTCATGTTTTGAATACAGTAAAATAAATTAAAAATAATTGTTTTGAATTAATCTGTAGTTCAAAATGGTGTTTTGTGGTCTCTAATTATAATCATGCAAATGGATGAAAAAGAGGTGACTTTAGAAACACTCATCAAGTTTAATTAATTCTTTGCTTTCTGTTTTGTAATCTTAAATAAATTATTAGAATTTCTTCAATCTATGTAGTAATTATATATAAATTACTTGATTTAACTAAAGATATTCTAATACTTTTATTATTAGAGAAGATTAGATAGAAAATGGTTGGTGTGCCAGTGCACAAAAAAAGCCCAAAATGCTGGATTTCTAGTACCAATCATGAAACAAATCACATTTATAACTCTAGTAGAAATTCCTTTCAACTTTTTTTTTCTATGTTTTTCTTTCTTTTTGAACACATTTGTTTTGTTCTTAGATAAGAGAAACACAATCATATGGTTTCTATGAAAGAAAAAAAACCTAAGTTAGTAAAGATAAATAAATATCTGAACTACTTAAATCTCTTTCTCCAATCTCTTCTTCTTCTACATAGACCTTAGAATTATTTATTTGTTTATAAAGAGCCAGAATCTAAAAATTACTAGCTAGAATAAGAAAATCTAATGGTATAGTGATTTTTAGATTCCGGCTTTTTATAGACAAATAAATAATTTTAAAGTCTATGTAGAAGAAGAAGGGATTAGAAAAGTTATTCGAGGTATTTTTATGATGTATGAGCAGTGGCTTTACAACGTTTGGGTCAGTCTCAATCTATTTTCAATAATATTGCTATGATGAGTATCATTGATCACATATGCACATACTAAACACTGACATTGTCTACTATCACACCCATTTCCTAATACAACACATGCATATTTTGTTGAGTTTGAGTAAGCACAAAAATGATTGGCATTAAAATCACTAAGATAAAACTTCACAAGCTCAAAGAATGAAGATAACTCACCTCAACCTGAATCGGCTCTACATCTTTGAGCACTATTTTAAAGAAGCAAGCCCCCACGGTGTATCCAATAATAAAATCATCTTCACAAAATTCTCAACTCGCTACTTGAAAAGAGAAAATTAAAAGAATTAGTTGCATATCAGAGTCATGCTAATAAACTAATACTCTTCACAAGATTTTTAGATAAAGATCAAGCAAGAAACATTATCCTCGAGAAAACTCTATCGATCAAAACCACACAATCTCAAAAAATAAAAGAGCATTCACTGTGAACGAGAGAGATTTAACTGTTAGATCTAAGTAATCAAAATTAATTAGGAATCTCTGTGTTTATAAATGAACATTTCTTTAACTCTCAACTTAGTGTTTAGAGCTTGGATTTAATGTTAGTATTAGGTTTCAGACTAATGGATCTAAGATAACAATTTTTTGGCCTATTTTGGTCTAGTGTCTTGAAGTTAAAAGGTTTAGAAATAATAATTATGATATTATAAATTCAATAAGAAAAATATGGATTTTGGACTCAAACCAAAATTATGTAAGTTTTAGAAGGGATTCTCACAACTTATTATTATTATTTTTTTTGTAAAACAAGATTTCTTTTATTTAAAGAGCTCCCATAACTCTTACCATTGTGAAAATCTCTTTTAAAGTTGTGAGAGTTCTTTTAGAACAATCTTTGCTAAAATGGTTAGATACATGAACTATTTTACAGAAATATTTGCTAAATAGTATTTTTTTATATAATGGTTATACAGTTGCTAAACATTTTGATTTGATTTCCTAAACATTTTATTTTAGTAACTTTTGGTGCAGTGATACTGATTTTAATATCAATCATGCAAAAATTGATACACAAAATATTTATATTCCTAATATAATATTAGTGAGTAAGTTTACACTTGACATTTATATTAAAGATAAAAATAGTTCGTAATTATAAATTCTAAAAAATCTTTATAATTGTGTGATAAATTCTAAAAAAATCTTTATAACGAAATAGTTTATAAAAGTTTGGGGGCTCCTTTGAGTAATAAAATAAATAAAATGGAGAGGGAAATACTAAAATTGATATACGAGACCTAAAAATCGGCAACTAGTTTTACGATTACGTCCTTTTGCTCTCGACTCGAGAGACGTCCTTCTCTCTCTCTCCGCCATTGTTCGTTCCCTCTCGACGGTAAGCGATATCCACCCGTAGCACGTCCTCAATCGGAACTTTGCGACTCTTTACCAATCGAAATTTACTATCGATTTCTGGCTTTTCTCCTTGTTTCGTCCTCTGTTCCTCGGGTCTCGCTTTCGATTTCTAGGGTTTCGCGGTTCAGATCACAGAAGTTCTGCTTCAATTTTTAAGCGATTTGATCACGATTAGCTGTTTCTGCCGTGCGTTGGCCAAAATTCGACATATCGAGATTCAGTCTCTGCAATTCTGATTTGAACACGGCTTTAGTCAGTCGTAGAGTTTTTATTTGTCGTAGAAGCAGATTTGGGAATAGGATTTTGGGTTTTTTTTACCCTTCTTCACTGAAGTTAAGATTTGAACTGTCTGTATGGCGGCTGGAAGGAATGCAAGATATCCTGACAGTGAATTGAGAGACAATGAATCGAATTCTAGATTTTCCAGGCGGGAAAGTGCTTACTCAAATGAGGATTATGACCATGCGAGGAACGGTGCTCTTGATAATGAAAAAGGACGGGTTACTAGTCTAAGACAAGGGGATAGCGGTAAAGATAGAGAGAGGATTAGGGCCGGAGCTAGACACAGAGATAACCAAGAGAGAGAGATTGTTGATAGTGGGTGTCGGTCATTGATGAGCAATCGAGGTAGTAGTAGGGAAGTCTTTGTTGGTCGTGGTCCTAAAAGATGCGGGTTTTCAGCTAGGTCCGTTGATAGGGAACCAGGTGAGCTCTCTAGTGAGAGTGGATCGGATGATTTGATCGAGTCTGAATCAGTGGTGAAAGATAATGGAGTTGTGAAGCAGGTAGAGAATAGAGGTCAAAGCCCTGTAGAAAAGAAGAGAAAGTTTTCACCGATAGTATGGGACAGAGACGACCTTCAAAGAGGTTCTTTGAGCAGAAATGAAAAACCTGTGGAGGTCACAGCTCTTCCTCCCCCACCACCACTTATTAAGAGGTCAAGCCAGTCACCTAGTGTCAATGGTGATGACAGTTCTCATTTCTCGCATGCAAAGATGCGTCAAGATCCCGCGCAAGTTGGTGTTCTTGAGGTTTCTGTGCCTACTTTGTCATCTCCGGTGGAGATCTCTTCTTTGTGTGTGGTGGAACAATCATCAAATGCTGGGAAGGATGACAAACAAGAGGATGCGACACACATGGAAGATGAGGAAAACATGCCAACAAGGCATATATCATCCTCGAGGTGGGCTGCTGGAAGCAGTTCTCCAACTGACGAAGGTGAAATAGTGGAAGAAGTGGAAGTAAATAAAAGGAGGAAGAAACCACTTCCCAAGGAACACTTTCAGGGGAGATTGCGCAATAAGTCTCTAACGCCTGAGGCCGGAGAGTTTGTGAGGGAAGGTTATAGATCATCTGATTCCGAAGGAAGGAGGCACCGTTCTTTGCCGGTAAGGGGAGATGATTTTGAGGAGAAAGATGCTGTGAAAGGTGACAATATGGAAATAGATGAGGAGGAACATAGAAGAGGAAATACTTGTGACAGCCTTAGTGAAACTGATTCGGATGACGAATATGTTCGGCATGAGACACCTGAACCTGCTGGTACTCCACTGCGAAGTATAAACATGCTCCAGGGTTGTAGAAGTGTTGATGAGTTTGAGAGATTAAATAAGATAGATGAAGGTACGTATGGAGTTGTTTACAGAGCGAAGGACAAGAAGACAGGCGAAATTGTGGCATTGAAAAAGGTGAAGATGGAAAAAGAAAGAGAAGGTTTTCCGTTGACTTCTCTAAGGGAAATTAACATACTTCTTTCTTTTCATCACCCATCAATAGTAGATGTTAAAGAGGTGGTTGTGGGTAGTAGTCTTGATAGCATTTTTATGGTGATGGAATATATGGAACATGATCTTAAAGCATTGATGGAGACAATGAAGCAGCGTTTCAGTCAAAGTGAAGTGAAATGCTTAATGCTTCAACTTTTAGAGGGGGTCAAGTATCTTCATGACAACTGGGTGCTTCATCGAGATTTGAAAACATCTAACCTGCTTTTAAACAATCGGGGTGAGTTGAAGATATGTGACTTTGGTTTGGCTCGGCAATATGGCAGCCCACTGAAGCCGTATACCCATCTGGTTGTCACGCTTTGGTACAGGTAAAGTCTATTTTTAGTGTTTTCTAGTTTAAAAAAAAATCTGTGGTGTCTGCATTTGCAATTGTAATTTTAATTCTAGTGGGCTTTCCGGTAATTTTTGGCCTTTGTTAGTATAGTCTTAGGTGTCACTTGCCCTTTCTGGTAGAGCTGTACAGCACCTTTATCCCTTTTCCATCCCTCGACATTGATTTTAAAAGTCCTGATTCTAAATTACGTTCTATGGTTACTGATTTTTTCTTTGTACGCCACCTAATTTGAGTATTCAGACTGACTTGGATCTTTATCTTTCCACTTTGAGAATAGTCGTCATAATATGCCAGCTTTTGTGGACACCACTTAGAATGACCGTTATAAACTTGACACATTAAAGAATATTTGTACTTCAACTTTCTTGACTAGTTTGTTTCCTTGTGTTAACTCTCCCTTCTTGTTTTAGCAATAATCACTTCCTCCAGGACCAAGCCAAATGACCGCATCTGTTTTCTCAGGGCACCTGAACTTCTCTTGGGAGCAAAACAATATTCTACAGCCATTGACATGTGGTCACTGGGCTGTATCATGGCAGAACTATTATCGAAGGCACCATTGTTTAATGGTAAAACTGAGTTTGATCAACTTGACAAGGTATTTCAAATATTAATTTTGACTTTGATCTCCAGCTATACTGGAAGAACACAGCTTATAAACTAATGCTGCTTTTAATTTACAGATATTCAGAATCCTTGGGACTCCCAATGAATCAATTTGGCCTGGGTTCTCCAAGCTGCCTGGAGTCAAGGTCAACTTTGTCAAGCATCAGTAAGTGTTATAAATTCCTTGTAATATTCAGTTGTTATGCACCTTAGTATAAATTTGCTGAAATCTCTAGTACTGTTCCCAGGCTTTTTAGCTTTAGGTGATGTGGTCTGGCATTCTGTCTCGGTAGTGATTTTGTTTTTCGTTTTTCATCTTTATGTCGTTCTTCTCACTGATGGCTTATTCTTTCAGGTACAATCTATTACGTAAGAAATTCCCAGCCACTTCATTCACTGGTTCACCAGTTCTGTCCGATGCTGGGTTTGACTTGCTGAACAAGCTCCTGACATACGATCCTGAGAGGGTAATAAATTATAATATAAATTGCATGTATGCTCATCAGTACTCACCTTGATTGTTCCTTGACTTATGGATCTGTGATGCTTCTTTTATAGAGAATCACTGTTGATGCTGCGCTTAAGCATGATTGGTTCCGTGAAGTCCCTCTGCCAAAATCCAAAGATTTCATGCCTACTTTCCCTGCTCAACATGCCCAAGATAGGTGCTGAGATCTATCTAAACTGAAACGATCGCTGGTTGACTTTAATTCTTTAATTCCGTGTCTAACCTTTTTGTTTCTGTCCCAAGGCGTGGGAGGAGAATGGTAAAGAGCCCTGATCCTTTAGAAGAGCAACGTAGGAAGGAACTAACACAAACCGAACTTGGATCTGGTGGTCTGTTTGGCTGAATTGAAGATAGCAGCTGGTGTCCAACCTTGATACTCTCAGATACCATGGAATTACCACATTTTAACAAGGGCTGCTGCTTAAGCGGAGGTTGGAACATTTGTATCTCAGACTATCATTTGTACTTTCTTTACTCATTTCAAGGGTCCATGGTGATTTGTGAAGATGATTTTCCTCCTATCGCCAGCGAGATTCCTTGCAGGTTTAATGTGTTCACAAGCTAGGCTGGTCAGTTAGTAGTCCTGCAGCTTTCTGACAATGCTTGTTCTGCAAGGTGTGGCATGACAATGAAAACTCAATTTCTACTAAACTTATGTATGTAGCTAGTGTTATTGAATAATGACTTTTTTCACTACTAAGAGGGAGATAACGTATTATTTTTCATCTACAATCCTCTTAATCTACTTTTTATATATAATATTCGCATTGTGATTGCAAGAAAAACTGGTGTTGAAGTGGAGGTGACACTCTTGTCTTTAAAGAAGAAATGATGGTTGCCGATGAATCTCCGCAAGGTAATATATAGTCCTGATGTTTGTAGGGTTTTAACTTGGTCTTTTTGTTTTCCACTAAAAGCGTGTGTCAATGGTTCTTCCTGATCAGATGGTTGCTCCAAAACTGTTGAAATCTTGTAGTCTTTGGTTTCTAGGGTTAATAATGTTCCGTTTATTCCTTTTTCTAATTTGATTGCTTAGGAGCTAATGGTAGCAACTAAAGTCGATCCTGATTCCTCTGGGCAGGGTAATGCCACGTAGTGAACCATTCTAGGGTCTCTGAAATAAGCTTTAGCCCTATTATTCCAGAAGTTAACTGATTTCATGGTTATAGTCGAACTGTTGTTGTTAGCTGCAAAAGTGCTAGAAACGCATTGTTAGGTTTTCAGTAACAAAGTGAAACTAAATTGACATTGTTAGTCTCAACCTTTAAAGAAGCATATGCGGAGAAGTGTGAACGAGTGACTTGTGTAGAGCTTTCTTTAAATCAGTCAGCTCTTTTTGGATCCTTGTAAGTTTTATCTTACATTTTCGCATGGGCTTACATTCAACGGTTTTGACATTTTACCATGATTCTAGGCGGGAGTAGCAGTACTCTTGCCCGGAGACATTGTCATGACACTAGAAAGGGTGCTGCAGGCAAGCAAGTCAAGGTCCGGGTCAGTTGCAGAGAGTCAATGCTCGAGAGAGTGGATGATAAATTCCTTCATATACTCCCGGGCTTGGCATTAAGCATGTATCAATCGTTTAGCATGCGACTTGCTGGAGTGTTTGGTGGTGTTGAGAATCGATCCGACTCATAAAAAATATATTAGAGTGAGTTTGCATGCCGAGGACTAGGACCCATGAATATGATATCACATCCTTGGTATCAAGCCAAGTGTTTGCAGAAAGTAACACTCCCAAAGTGGTCAGTCGCCAATTGCTCTTATAGAATTGGTCCAAAATCCGGACCATGTGCGTTATAGAATTCCATATACGAAATGCCAAAAGAAACAGTCCGTAAAATCATGTAACTCATGAAACATTTACTTCATGATCTAACTACAATCGTCTTCGTATGAAAGGAAAAGACATAAGTGTGTAAAGAATTCAAGAGAAACAATTAAAGGCCTCGTCAATAAGCTTATTTATCATACACTCAAATTAAGAGAAGGTCATGACAAGTTTCTTTCTTCTCCTATCAATTGCAAAATTCACTATATAGCAAAAAGGGTAAACCTGGGTATGAGACACCAAACCCTTTTTTTTTCTGTCACTCAGAACTGAAAACTACAGTCTTCCCAAGTACAAAGGTAACTAGAGAGAGCTCAATGAAGAATATTGTGTTTATTAGATGTCTGTCTACTGTCCACCCGAATATCGTTATCCCGCCTGGATTCATCTGCAAATACAACACTGCAAAACAATCATCTAATCAGCTATCATAGCAGGTATGACCGGGAAAAAATAACAAAATGGAAAGGGAAAAAAGGTCGAAACAATCCTCACCGAAAGCTTGTCTTTTGTGATACGAGGACATGGACATGTATGAAGGAAAGTTGTTGTTATTAGCAGGCATCCTCATGTAGTGATCCATTGATTCCACATCACTTTCTGAATTGGAAATCTGAAAGGAGATTGGTGGATTCGTGGTGGCCTCCAAGTGAACTCCACTAGGAGAAGTCCTTATTTGAGTTGAATCTGTTGATGAGCAAGACATTATCGCATGCCATTTACTTGCAACTGATGCTATCGCTTGAGCTCTGTGAGATATCTTTGTTGCTGCGTGGAGACACAGTATTATTCCAACAACTTGTACTACCGCGGAGACCTGAATATATGGTTCCAAGCACCAAATAAGAACATAACCAATAAAGAAGAAGAAGAAGAAGAAGAAGCAGAGGATTGACTTACCGCAAAATCACCACCGTTAATATATGTGATACGACCGCTATACGCAGTGGTCTGGAAAAGTGTAGTAAACTGGCTGGCTGTGACGACCAGAAACTGTAGAAGCAGAAAGATGCGGAACCTATGGCTTATCTTGGAAAGATAGTGTCGCAAACGGATGTGCTCGTAGATGAAGAGAGAGATCTCAGACTCCCCATCTAATTGCTTTGCATAATCTTCAAAGTGAATGACTTGCAAGTTGCAGACCAAATGAAACATGGCACTAGCAGCTAGAAATATAGTGCTTAGGTAAGTCCATGACAAGATCATGCATAAGAGAATTAAAAAAGATAGCCATGGCTGGTCATGAGGCACATATAACATCCGTATGATCTCTCGAACAACTTTCAATCCAAAACATGGAAGCGACCAAAATGCAAGCAGTTTCACAGAGTTCTGCAACAAGGAAGAAACAAAAATTCAGCTTTCCACAAAAAAAGTGCTTACTTTAGCGGAAAAAAAAACATGAACAGGACTAACAATTAAAATACACATTCAAGAATTTGATGCTTATTGCACATTGAAGAAGAAGAGTGTGTCAAAGCGTCTCCGTATGTATAACTAATGATCCATCACAATCAAACCAAGTATTGAAAAATTACCGAGATTTGCTGAATATATAGAGCCTTGAGCCGTCCCATTCGGCCACTGAGTTGATCGACGAACAAAAACTTCCTAATGCCATGCTTTCTCAAATTGTGAGAAACGCAAAGGAGAGAGACACCAGCTAAACACGCCTGCGAAACAACGATATTGAGCTCGAAACTCTTGTACTGGTATTTCTCACATCCCAAACAATGCCCGAGCTCCAGCACAGTCACCGGAAGAACCAAACCGATCGTCAAAAAGACGATCCAAGACAAGACAAGGCTTCGTGTAGACGATTGGTTAAACCCAAGGAGCATCAGTAACATCTCAAGCCATTGCAGCGTTTCCCCAAGGTCGTCGTCTTCGTCGCCGATGCCCTCTCCTCCTCCTCCGCCGTCTATCACCGGCGGAGGTTGCTCTTGATCGTGATTCGAATCGAGCAACGGCGTTTCAGCGACCGGTGGTGATTGCTCCGCCATCAGAAGAGCCCAAATACGTTTACAGAAATCCACCGCGACGGATTTGCAAACATAGAAGCTCGTTAATGGCGGTTTCGATCGCATTTAAAATCGCCATCTTCCGATTAGGCTCGTGATGGTTTCTCTCTCAGATCGACGGTTGTAATTCATTTTTTGTTTTTCCGATTAATCTGAAATCGGGAACCGGAAAATAAAATAAATTATAATCCAAGAAACGAGGGATTGGCATTTAGCGTGTGATTTGGAGGGGAAGTTCATATAAAATTAATTTTCTTAATATGTGTTTTCAGCCGTTAGATTGAAGATTAATCTGAAGTTTCAACGGCTGATGGTTGATGACGAACATATATGGTAGAGTGCGACCAGTACCACCTGATTGTTTTTGTTTTTTGTTTTTTTTTTTGTATTTTTGGGAGATTGTGAAGTTTAGGACGTGGGAAAGCCTATTTGTTTGACAGTCGATAAAAATTTCATTTCTTTTATAATATTTCAATTTTCAACGTTTGATTTGGCTTGACCAGAAAAGGTACAAAAATATATGTTTTTGGAGATAATATTTCCAATATCATCTCCAAAATCATTTACATTTGTTATCATAAAAATCAATTTCTTATGACCAACGTTTGAGTCCATGTTTAGTTTTTGTTTTTTTGTTTGTTTTGGTTCATAAAGTTCAAGGCCTGCAAATCTTGCGTGGTTTTAGACTTTCATAATCAGATCCCATCTCTTAAACTACTACTCTTACGTCATACGAATACAAAAATTAAAAATATAAAATAGTATTTGCGGACCTATTCAATAGTGTGTTGTATCATATTACAACTTGTATGTGGCAGTATTTGAGGAACATGAGGCCCATATCTAAAATCCAGCTACAAGATCTCTCTCATACATGCACTGCTAGTAAGATCATTTTTTTAGCTACAAGTAAACTTTATTTGTTAAAGAAATTGAGCTAGATTATATGCTATTAAAGTATATGGGTTAGGCACCATTATTAAAGAAAAAAAAACCTATGGGTTACAGGGTTAGTGAATATGTTTATTTTTATTGGTGGTAGTTGGAATTAAAGTTGAACAGAAATGTGAAAAGTTACTGCGATTACAAAGACATTACAAAGACAGCACAAGTTGACAAGAAACATACATAATGGTTTGTGTAAACTGTTGTGGTCTAGATATTTGCAATTTGGTTTTACTAGTAACTATGATAATTATATTGCCATTTAATATTTATCTTTTTTATTTCTTTCTTAGATGTATATCTTTGTAGATAAAAAGTCACAATCAAGTTTTTTTTAAATCCTCCTTTTTTCTTCGTAATGATGTAACTATGATTTTTTATGCTATTATATGAGGTTTTACAGGAAAATGTTATACTTTCATAGTACAAAAAAGGATTAAAGTAGGAGTGAGTGTGAAATTATTGAACCTTCTTGTATTATCATCATGATACATCGAAAAAAAGTAATATTCCTCATATGATCATATTAGAGACTATCACAAAAAGAAAAAAGAAAAAAAAACATACCACATAATTCATAAATCTGTTTTGTGCATACATACATCTAAATGGAAATGCTGTTGGGAATACCACGGCCAGTGACTCCATGTGGTGAAGTAGGGAGAAGTAGTTCATAAGGAGGCATACCAGCACCTGTTCTGTTCTTGAGTTTCTTATCTTTGTTTCTCTGGTTGATTTTTTTCTCAATCTCCTCAAGTTCCTCAGAGAACTTGTTGAAATACTTAACAACTTCCTCATCTTGAAACCAACGTCTCTGAACTTCTCTCAGGTCAATCAAGTACTCTTCATCAGGGGAATGCGTCGAGAGCGTCTCTTGAACCGCCATCACTTTCGTTGCTTGGAGCTGTGTTGGTAGAGAGCTTAAGAAGCTATACTGAGGGTTCCGCATGAACATCTCGTAGTCCGGGTCATCTTCGTGCGGTATAAGTTTCCTCAAGAGCGTTGGTCGGTTAGGGACATATCCTCCGAACGGGTATTGCCCGAAGTTAATGGCTGCGTGTTGTCCTGAAGCGATCCATATCATGTTGGTTAAGATATCAGACAAGTCTTGTGTTGTGTTGAGTTTAGGCCACCAAGGCTCGTCTTTCTTGTCGTAGTGACCTTTGTTCTTGATCTCATCCCACCAAGCTTGAAGCTCAAAGTCAGATGTTATGGATTTGGGCTCAGAGTAGAAGTGTTTGACATATGATTCAACTAGGTCCTTGATAGCTTTCCATATCAAAAGACCATCTGATGCATAAGGATAATCTTCGATCACAAGCTTCACGCCACATTCCGCTGAAGAATCCTCCTCTGCCATTCCCCTGTAAATGATTCCACACCGCATTAGAGAGAGAGAGACATAAACAAAAAGAGTGTTTGTTTGTTACTAAGCAAAGCAAAAGAGGTTTTAACCTTCGAACAAGATCAGCAGGAAGTCCTTCCATGTCAAACCGCCACATACTCTTGTACGCTGCAGAGCTTAGTTCCATGGCGTATTTTCCGGGAGTGAAGCAACTTTCAATGATTCCTCCTCCATTGATTAAGCTTTTACGCGCGCGTGCATTGATTTCTAGCGTGTAGCGCATGTGAGGGTGAAGCAGCTTGTAAACCGGATGCATCGTACTCAATTGTCTGTTAGTAGCAATAATATAAGGCTCCATGGCAGCATGAGTCCTTAGCCTGAGAGTTTTTTGGAAAAAAAACAGAACAATGTCTCTTGAATACATCGATGTAAGTCTACAAATCAAGGTAGACAAAGTTCAAGTTAAGTTCATTACCAGTGGTTCACTAGTTGGTGAACACCAGCATCATTTGAGCAGACATGGGCTTTGGCTAGTTTCCACATCCAGTGAGTAGTAGCGTCATGTCCGTGAGCATAAACAAACTTGTTCTCGTTCTCGGACGTAGGAGGTAGCGAGAGCTCTATGGCCAATGGCCTTAGAGCACCAGTCTTTGAATATAAGAAAACTGTTCTTGAAGCATATGTCTTTCTTGGATCCTCTTTGAGGGAGTTTATCTTCTCTACAAATGGCAAGAGCATGTCATGGTAATCCAATAGAAACAATCTCTTCTCCTCAAACGCCTGCATTCACCACAATTTACTAAACGTTTTTTTGCGGTATCAAGAAGATTAGAAGATTCTATAGTTACACTACCAAACCTGTTCTATAGTCATCCCATAGTGTTGAACTTCTCGAGCTATAATTTCTTCTGTGAGAGCAGATTCAGGAGATCCATATATAGCCGGGTCAAGCTTGCTTCGAATTGGCAGCTCCTGTCAAAAACAAATTAAAAGTTTCAGAAACTCTCACAGAAACTTCCTGATTACAAAAATGGTAAAATGAAAACATACCTTGAGCAGCTCAATGTTCACAGGGTTTACACCAGCAAGAGCTTGACGTCCGAATTCATTGTCTCTCAGCCACGCAAATCTGTCCCCTGAACACAACAAAAAAACTCATGATCAGAGAGGATTAAAAATGTATTATATTTCAAGAATGATGTTACTCTTAATGAAACAGCCGTTACATGTCAAGACTGATTTTACATTACATTTTATAACGGCTGGAGTGTCGTATTTTAGTAGTGTTTCTCCAACGTTGAGGATCCCATCCACAAAACCGCCAAAGAATCCGCCAAGGCCTGTGTTTTTTGGCTCGGTCGGTCTCAGGACAATGTCACATTTGTATAATCTGTCGATATCCGAGAAGCATGTGAAAGGAATGTCTAAGTTTGACAATGCAGCCGCAATAGATGGCACGAGATTGTGAAAGAGAGCCTTAAATCTGCCAGCGGTAAAAGTATCTCTCTTGATTTCATCGAAAACTTCGTCTCTTGGAACATAAAACTCTTCCTTCTCCTTTCCTCTGCTCTCACACGGTGGATCTAGAATGATTTTCAACATGTCAAGAAGAACCAAAACAATGTCTCATATACTACTATGCAAAAGTGAAGTAGAGAGATGAATCAATCACCTCTTGAAATTAGAGGCCGGCCAGACCTGCAGCGTCTTGGATACGGCATGTCAGGATTACCAAGAACAGGCCTAACACGATCTTTTATACGTGGATCTCCCAAATCATTGTAAACATCGTAATCAAAGATCCTCTCATGAGGCTTTCTCTCGCCTTTTCCGGTACCACGGACACTGAGCAAGTCCTTTTCACGTAGCTCTTTGATCCCAGCTGGAGTCTTGGAAGGTAAGCATGGCTATGGAAACAACATGAACTGGTTAGCAAGAAACCCAAAAAGAATGATAAGAAGCTGAAGAAGAAGAACTCTCACTTGACTTCTGAAGAGAATCCTGGCTTGAGGATTATCATTCCTGGAGTGGATCCAAGTGTTACCAGGGAAGAGAATGGTGTCATTGTCATCATGGATGATAATCTCCGACAAGCAAATCTCTGTGGAAAGGAGATTGGTGACAAGAATGGCACCAGGTTTACCAAAATCTGTTGGGACAGTGAAGTTGGCTGTGAACTCGAGGTATCTTGGATCGTTCCTAGCCTTTGGGAGTCCAAGCACCGGAGTTTCTAAACTCCTCCTGCCTGAACCGCTTTCTGTTAAAAATCAGCAGAAACGTTAGTGTCACATTCCTTATTCAAATCCGCATATGCAAAACATGTGTTGGTTGGTAAGTGCCTAATATTATTGAGATCCCTTTTTTATTTTAACTGCAAGTACAAGAACTTAGTCTAATGTATTTTTAAAAGAAAAGAAAAGTAAAAGCATGAAAAGTCAAATGTATTTTTTCTACATTCTTTAAGACTCGCTAACTTAGTCTTATACTATTTTTTTTTTTTTTGCCGTACTTAGTCTTATACTAAAACCTTACACATGTTTGCCTTATTATATTAGAGTAAAAATATTTAATAATAATAATTGACCAAAAAAATTAGTAAAACTAGTATTTGAGAGTTACCATAGAATACTGGCACAAAAATTCATAATCTAAGAAAAAAATATAAACAAAAACATGGTGGAAGGCAAGCTAATGCACAATTTCTTAGATCTAGCCAGGATGATGAAAGATTCGGTTTTGCAATTTGTAGTTCCGGCGGCAGAACAATCATTGACAGCGAAGGAGGGGAGATAATAAGAAGTAATTGGTCTATGGGTCCCTTAATTAATTACTACTAGTACTAATCAAATATAATTACCTAACATTAATTATGCACGAGTAAATAGCTGTCATCTAAAGTTTAGCACCCAAGAAAAAATGCTAGCAAGAATCAAAATAGCAAGAATCAAAAGTTAAGTCGAAGAATCTAAGATAAATCCAAAGAAGGCAGAAAGATCAAGAGAGACAGCAAAAAAAAAACACAGTAACGTACAAATTGGTAACTGTAACTCAATCTAAGTGTTTGCTTTTGTTCTCTAGCCCAAAAAGTGATCAACTGATTTATAGTATATTAGAAAAAAGCAAATAAAAAGGCAAAAGAAGAAATAAATTGGTAAGAAGTAGAAGAAAAAAAACGAACCAGGATCGATTTCTTCACTAACAAGCTGGATTAACATCCCTTGACCGATCGCTTTCATTAAAAGCTCTAATTGATGCTCAAACCTCTCTGTTAGCTTCTCTCTCATCTTCTTTCTGATCTTCACAACCGCCACAACCGTTTTCGATCCCATATACTTAGATCTCTGCCATGGAAACGCAGGAGAAGAACTAGTTACAAGTGATCTGTTTACGCTTTTTTCACCTTCTTGGTCCACCGCCTTTTCTTCCCGGGAAATCACAGCTCGAACTTGTCCGGAAAGAGGAACACGGTGGTGTCTCCGCCGTGAAAGCACGGGAAACGCCGGAGATCTCACTAATCCGACGCCGTGGAAGTTCGTTTTCACCGGAGACGCTACAAACATTTTTTTATTTTTATTTTATTTTACTTTTCCTGTTTCTGTGTTTGGAATTTTGCAGTGTGAAGAGAGAGATATATAAAGAGAGAAAGAGAGAGATGATAAATAACACCAACGTGAAGCGTTTGCTCGTGGACCTCGTGCTAAGATAACTAAAACGACCAGAAAAGGTTGCGTTTTGGTTTAGTTAATTTTCAGACAGGAGGATTTTGTTTGACCGTGGGAGAGAGAGTGTGGTCACTCCATTTCACCGTATTTTGAGATAATGTATTCTCACGCGTTGAATAGCGCGTGAGCCGCCACGTGCCAACAGGAAGAGGCCACGTGTTTTGTATACTTGTCACGCGTGAAATGCAGACTCTAAAAGCAGGAGGCCACGGCTGCTTTTGTACCGACGGGAAAAGCCAACCGGGGAGGGTCACCGTGGACGTGGAATAAGGGATAAGCAGCATGGAGGGAAGCTTATGACGAATCCTTTTTTTGTCAACGCAATTAAAAAATAATATCTCTCATGCCGTAACTTTATTACAAATTATGAAAATTTTCACATAGGCAATTTTGGTAGAAGTTAAAAAAAAATATCGAGAGGAAGCCTTTTCTCTCTTAATTCCGACTTTTCATCGGAGTTTTTTTTTTCTGTATATACCAGAGTGTTAGTTTCCGATGAAATTCCGGCTTAAACTGGATTTTGTTGTGCCCTAGTTCGCAGATGGATTCCTCTTCTTAACGAGGCGGTGATATGCAGATCTGGTGGCAGTTGTTAGGATTTTCTTCTTCAATCTCTGGTATCAGCATTTCTTGGCTGGAAGCTATCGATCTCCCCAAGTTTCCTTTTAAAAGCCTTATTCAAGGCAAAGGATTACAGGTCTTGAGTTGTGTTAATCGGCGGTATAATTCATGAAGAGGTGATAATCACTAACATCAGATGCACACAGGATCAAATCGGAGAAATATTAAAAAGATGTCGGAACAGAAGTTTAGTGCGGCGGCGTGTTGTCGACGGTGAAATTTTTTTCGATCATGGATGAGCGGTGCTGCAACAACACGTGTCCTTGTTGTCGTGTATGTCTACACGTGTTGCTACACGTTTTAGGTGGATTGTAATGAGATTTAATTGGGCTTCTTATAATTTGTATTGTGTTTGTGTTGTAAACTGTTCCCTCTTTGGGCTTTCTTTATAAAATGAATTGACGACAAAAAAAAATAATATCTTTTTTATCAAAATTCACGACACTGTTTTACACTTACCATATTTACGATAAATCTTTACTTTTCACACAAAAAATCATGATAAATCATTTTCTTTACACTATGCTGTAATTATTTTTAAAAATTTACTTTTATGATCTACATTCTATGAGAATCATAGAAAACCTTTGTTTCATTAAAATATGTATAGTAAAACCTTTATAAATTAATACTCGATAAATTAATAATCACTATAAATTAATAAATTTTATTTGTATCAAGTCAGGCTAATGTAAAAAATCATCAAATTCGATAAGATAATAAGATAATAATTTTTTTGAAATCTCTATATAGATATATGGTCCCAACAAAAACATAAATTAATAATTATATATATTTATGCTAATATATGTAAATATAATATTTTAAAATATGGCGAATATGTTTGTTTTTACTTAAGATTGAAGTCTCATTGGATTTTATCCCTCTAATTATCATAACAGTAGCTTTTATTGGTGTTTTACGATATACATTCAAAATTTATGAGGGTTTTTATGTGATAATTGATTTTCTTATCTGTAAATGTTTTAAAATATATTGTAATGTTATTTTCAATTTTATTATCAATAATACGAATACTATCCATGATTTTTTTATAAAATTTAAATTTATGAACATGTATATATTAACATGGACAATTCAATATGGTATTAAAAACTATTTTATTGCAATAGTTATAATTGCTAATCATAATTTACATTACAAGATTTGTTAAAATTTTAAAATATAACATTATTTTTAGAAAATTATAGGCGAAAACTATTATTTTTAAAATATAACATTATTTTTAGAAAATTATTAATTTATAGATAAATTAATATCACGATAAATTAATAAAATATTATGGTTCTGATATTATTAATTTATAGAGGTTTTTACTGTAATTGTAATTTCAAACTTATCATGTATCTACATAATTGATTAGGATGGTTCTAAACAAAAGATTTCATGTCCAACTCTTGGTAAGAAGTTCGTCGATGGCTTTTCACTTCTCCTTATAGACGAATAATATCATTCTCTTCCATACAAATCCACCATAGAAAAGTCTCTAAAATAAATTTTGAAATCTAATCTGATTTTAAATTTATAGATATCTAAAGAATAATGTATTTTGGTCTGTTAACTTGTATTTTTTTGTATGCAGATTCACAATTCAGAATAATTGAAAACCTATACATATATGGTTGGTAAAAGCTTCTTCGGTCCAATATTTGACTAAAGGTTCACTAAATGCTCTACTTCCAAGAAGTATATGAGGTTAGAATCTGAGAGAGTTCGAGTTATTATACTCAATATATGCAGATTAAATGAAGATAAATATTAAAGAAAATTTCAACGTTGTGCAGTCAAAAACCGTTTTGATATGGATGTGGTAGAGTTGTTTTTCTCATAATTTTTAATAAAATTATAAATTAGTTTTTTTTTAAAATGTATATATGGCTGAAATTTTCTAATCTCATATGTTTTGTATCCAAACGATTTTTTTTAGTTTTCTACTATATCTACTATTTCAGTTGCCAAACAAAAATTTTATTTTTATTTTTCTGATTTATTTATTTTCGAAAATTAATAAAATAATATATTTGAATTTTATTTTTAAAATTAATTTTGAAAAATTTTAAATTTTAGTTTTAGCTATAGTTAGGATTAATTATCAAAATTATAAAAATTAGTTGTTATTATTTTTACAAAATAGTAAATAAAATATGAACTTATTTTTTTTTTTAAAATATTCAAATTTAAAAAATATTCTCATAATAATAAAGATAATAAACGATATATTAGTATAAATATTTTCATAATCAATTATTTTTAAAAATATATATGATATGGTAATATGAACAGATAAGGTAAAATTATATTTTTATATTCATAGTCTTTTTTGAATTAATCGAATGTTAAAATTATGTTTTTATAATTGTGGTCAATTTTTTTTTTGTTTTGTTTCAATAGCCTCTTCTCCTATACCGAACTGGTTAGCCAAGCCGGTGGAGAAAAGTTTACATATATCATATCTCTTAGGTAGACTCTAGCGCTGTGTGCTAATGTGTCCGCCTTTGTATTCTTTACTCGTGGTATATGGTTCAATGTGAAATGTTGGAACTTCTCCCTGCATTTCTGGATTTCTTCTAAGTGTAAAGCAAATGCTGGTCATTCCTTGGGTGCCGGTACCATCTTCCCATATCAGAACAATTTGTTGCAAAAACCACTTCTCTTCGCTGATTTTCGATCATGCAGAGCATTGCCCATAAGAGCGCTTCTACTTCTGCATGTAAAAGAGATAGACTCCACCGTAAATTCCTTGCCCCCATGATTGTTTCATTTGTTTCCTCCCGCGAGTAGTACCAGCCTATACCTGACACTTTATCCGACTCCTTCCAAGAGCCATCCACAGAGCACCATCCACCCCTATGGAGATTTGTCTCCATAGTCCGTCCATGAGTTTGTATTTTCGGTGCGGTTATCATTTCCTGTGCTTCCTCCCATAAAGTGGCTTCTGTTTCCGCTAATTCGAGCGTCATTCTTGGATCTCTATCCATATTTGAGAATAGTTTGTCATTTCTCGCCTTTCAAATATACCATAATATCCATGGGTAAGATTCCTTTGAAATCTGTTTTGGTATTCGCCAAAATAGATGATCAAAATTTGAGTAAATCGAGCTTCCTGGGAACTCCCCAGGGGGTGTTGGAATTTTTGACAAAGCCCATGTCTGCACTGCTGGGGGGTACTCAAATAAAACATGATTAATTGTTTCCTCATCTGCCCCGCATCTGCTACATTGAGCATCACATTTGATTCCTCTGTTGTTCAGATTTTTTGCAACTGCCAAACATCCTGTCAATGACTGCCATAGAAAATTTTGTAATTTAGGAGGACATCTTAATTTCCATATGGTTGCCAATAAGGGTCTGGATCGGGTCCATAGATGTTTTATGTTGTTTCCTCTGAGTATTGATGCACAATTTGATATCCCGATTTGACCGTGTATCGTCTTGATTTTGTGAAATGTCAGCCCAATACATCCGGCCTAAATGTAGTGCTTATTGGTATCCCTTGTATTATTTCTGCATCCTTTGACTTTATTATTGCATTAATTAGCCCCATATTCCAAGTATTAGTCCATGGATCAATTAGGTGATTGACCATGAGATTTGGATAGTAACTATAACCCTTACATATTGCTGATCTCGGACGAGGAGATGGTATCCAGGGATCGTTCCATATCGAAATGGAGCATCCAAATCCAAATTTTTTGATTAGCCCTTTGTTAACCAGAGATCGAGCTGAGATGATACTTCGCCATCCGTAGGATGGTGAATAGGACCTTATGTTATCCATCGGGCCTGTATTCCGGTAATACCTCCCTTTAAAAACTCTCGAAAATAAGGAGTTTGACTTCTCCATTAATCGCCATAATTGTTTTGCCAATAGTGCCATATTAAAATCCTCGATCGACCTAAATCCCATGCCCCCATCAGTTTTATGACGGCACATCCTTTTCCATGCTATCTAATGCATCCCTTTGCCTTGGCCATATGTGTGCCACCAGAATCTGGCCGTGATACTTGTTAACTTTGTGATGACAGATTTCGGTAGCCGAAAACATGACATCACAAATGTTGGCATAGCTGATGCCACCGATTTTATTAGGACTTTCTTTCCCCTTTGATAATAATTTGGTCGTCCATCCATTTACCCGGTCCTGTTGTCTTTCCGCTAGAAAACTGAAATTTTTTGTTTTTTGCCCCCCCCCTAGGTTTTCCGGTAACCCCAAATATGATCCCATTCCTCCCATATTTTTGATTC